CAATTAGAAACTTATATGTACAAATCAGTATAGTTATATAAAGAAAAGGTATGTGCAATATTTAGTATAATATACAATTATTTTGTTTTGTTATCCAAAATAAATGGAAGCTGAACGTTCTTCTTTTTACAGATGTTATAAAGATCCTTAAGGCATTTGATTGGCTGTTCTATCCACTGATTTGTTCTAGGAATTCAAGTCTTGATGGTTCTGGATTCCAAAACATTTTCACGGTGTTTAATGCATTTTTGTGAGTCTCCAACAGGCTACGTAACTTCTGATAATCATCTGCATTTTAGATTTGGTCAGTAAACCAATGATCCACCCGTCTGTAAGAGATGAATCTACAAATTTTAAATAGTGAGTTTCTTTTCTCTGATAGAAGAATAAATACCAAAAGAGCTAATATTGCTCCAGAATTCCATCTTGTATTACTTAAAATTTGATACTTTTTGCAACTTCACTTTAGGAAATGTTTCAGTTTCTTTGAAAAAGCAGAAAACTTGAGTTAAATGAATTACAGATTTCATAACATCATGCCATCCTGCTGTTTCAGGAATTTTTTTATTACCATTTTTGATATTCTCCTTGAGCTGTTCATAGTTATTTACAAATTTGCAGATATTCAATATTGGGCGATGTGTTGTTTCCTCCAAGTTTGTCATTCATTACTACGTGAAACACTTGGTCAAGAATGTGATGTCGAAAGCCAATGAATTGTAGTTCTTCTAGTGGCTTTTTAACAAATACCCTTTGTAACCAAATGACAATCCCTGCTTTCAGTGGTTCATATCAATCATCTTTATACACTTCCATAAATTATATTCATCCAGAACAGCTGTTATTCCTTTGACAACAGTATCCACTTTTCCATTTTTTATAGATCTAATGCTTTTAACTATTCTTTCATTGTTAAAAACAAACATTGATATTCTTGGCATTCAATTCATTTGCCATCAAAATGCAATGAGCAATTATCTAAGTGTAGTGATTTTTTTCATGTCTTCTTTAAGTTTAATAGCTTTTTAAATAGTGAATCTGTAAATTCCAGATTGAGGAAGTGTCTCAAGATCAGTCCCTTTTTGAGATAACTGTTGACAAACATTTGACGCTTTGCTGGTTGGTAACTTTGAAGATGTTACTAATTTGGTTGCATTTTTGGTTTTGCTATGCTTCTTCCTTTTTCTTGTAGATTGTTCTTCAGAATTTTCAAACTCTTTATATTCACTATCTGGTTGGGTCTCAGATTCCGTTTCTGATTTGGAAGTTGTTGTTGTTCGCTCCAAGGTCACTTTTCTTCTTTTGGATGGATGAATAGTTTTGGAAGTTGCAATCTTTCCAGTTATATCTCCAACATGTCTTTTGCTTTCAATCTGAAGATGGTATAACCATCTGTCCTCACTACACAGCCATTCAACATTTTCTTTTGTGATGTCAAAAATTTCATTCAATGGATCATATTTTCATCGTTTCACACATACATTATAGGTTCAACTCTTGATCCAGTTTTACTTGTATGACTTGAGTTGATAAATTTGGAAAATTTATTCAGTTTTCTGTTGTAGATGGTATGTAAACAATGCATGTGAAAGGCATCAAGTTAATTGAAGTGTTGACGGATCTGCACCATAGAGTAGGGATATGAGTTTTATTTTATATATATATATATATATATATATATATATATATATATATATATATATTAAGTGCATAGAAAAATTGAGAAATATAAGCAGTAAAATTCTGATGCACCCTGAGGAGTGGATGGATGAGTCTGTCTATGAAACTCTGGAGTTGGAATGCTGAAGGCAACATCAGTTTGCTAAGTGACAAACTTTTTACTTGTATTAATTACACACACACACTCTCTCTCTCTCTCTCAACAATGTTGGTGTGACTAACAAATGACTTAACATCTTAAGCAAGAAAAAATTTTAATCAGAAAAGAAAGATTTGGTTTGGTTGATGTTGTTTAGTGGCATATCAACATCCCTATGGGTTATTTAATGCCAAAATCTAAATATTTTTAACAAAATTTTATTGCTTCAACTAAACAGATTTTTAACGCAATTATATACCTTCAATTACAGATAAAATGTATAGTTGGTCATTTTACTATAAATAGGTGTTGTTGGTAATTTTTTATATAAAAATGAATTGCTGGTATATTGCTGCTTTTTATACTTTCATAGTTTTTTTGTTTTTGTTTGGTTGGGGGTTCACTATTTGCCCAAAGCTGGGACCCAGACAGCCTGGGTGAATCTGAGAACAACAGCAATTAATAGGTGGCTCCACACTCCTGCAAACCTCCAGTCTCCACATCTAGGGCCTTGCTGCCGGATGAAGTTTATTGTCATACCCAGGACTAAAAAAGAAAGAACGAAAGGCAAATGCCTACCCACTCAGTAATGTACTCAATAACCAGACTACCCAAATATAACAAAAAACACTTCCAAATGTCAGCACTTAACAAAGGACAGCTCTAGTTGTTACTTAAGTTTCATGCTCTAGTAATCTTCAGATGATTCTTCAGACGAGTCGTCTAAAGATCACTAGAGCATAAAACTTGAGTAACAACTAGAGCTACCCTTTGTTAAGTGCTGACTTATACATATTTTTTAATAATCAACTTGCATGTTCTTTATAATGCAAGTATTTATTTTTTTATGCTATAGATACCAGCAGTAACTGGGAAGTACATTAGAATAATCCAGAACCTATACTGGCAGCAAATCACCTGCAAATGGGTATGACACAAGGTCATAGTGAAGGGGAGACTGAGCATGTGCACCTGTGCTTGGTCCAAAAATAGCCCAGCTCCTGCAACTTTTTTTTTTTTTTTAGGACGCAAGGGGTTACGGAGAATTGAGAAAAAGAGTAAAGAGGTGTGTTTGAGGAAAGGATACAGAGAAGGACAGGGGAACAAGCTCAGGGAGTCAGATGTCGATTGACATTACACTTGAATATTTGAAGATTATAGTTATCAGGGAAGCAAGCAAAAGAAAGGGAGTTCCAAAGACAAGAAGTGCAAGAGAAGAAGCTGTTTGAGTAGAAAAGACGGTTACATCTGTTTTGACACTGAAAAGGTGTGACCGAGTTGTCAGCCTAGGAGCTCGCTTAAATTCATGCAGTCTGAGAACCAGCGAAAGTAGCTCGTCGGAACAGTTGAAAATACTTGTAGAAGAGACAGAGGGAAGCCACGGCATATCTGTGAGAAAGCGACTGTAGACGAGATGCCAGATAGCTGCCAGTTATGCTGGTATCGGTATCACAACCAATCCCCTCCTCCTTTGTGCAACGAGGAAGCTGCTGCTGTGCAGACAGCTGATTCCCTGAGACGGGGCATTTGTCAGTAATATTTTCAGTTGCGCTCTGTCCGCAGACAGAAACATTTATGAGATAAAATAATTTTTCTGCCTGAAGGCAGATTGTATTTACTTTATGCTCCATGCTAGCAGGATATGATACAAGGTCAGTTTAATATAAGGAGTCTAAGCATGTGCACCTGGGCCAGGTTCAAAAATAGCCCAACCCTTACTTGTCAGTTGTGCAGGCATCACTATTACTACAGATCACCCTTCTTTTGTACAATGAGGGAGGTACTGCTGTGGGCAGCTGTTCTCCAGAACCAAGCACCTCGCAATATGTTTTCAGTTGCACTTTACCCAAAGGCAGACACTACTGAGAGATGAAATGTAGTTTATCCACTCAAGAGCAGATACTACACTTTGATCCCAGCCAAAATTCTGCAAAGCGATTTTTTTATTTTCTTGCTGCTGCACACTGGCAGGATGTGACACAAAGTAAGTTTTATCAGATACTACACTTTGATCCCAGCCTGATAGCCAGGGAGTAAATAAAAGCTTAACCCAAGTTGCACTGGCTGTTTAATCAATGAATGCCAAATGTTTCCTTATAAGGAAAGAGTTAATATTACTGATATGGTAATTTGCTCATGCACGCATGGACTCTCTCAGCTACAAATAAGAGCAGGTACTGCCTTTTGGAGAGGGAAGTTTCCATCAGTCAGCTCTGTCAGTCGGACTGAACATTCTTGCTGTAACACTCTCGTTTGTATTACTGTTAATATATTTAACTCAATTCCTCTCTTTGTGTCTTTATTTCTGGGCCTAACAAGGCCGTAACAGACATATTAAAGGTTTTACACCGAAAAAACCCACTATAATGTATATTATTGAAAAATAAAGTTTGCATGTTATACTAAATGTTGTTGAATGAATTTCAATTAGAAATATAGATTGTATGTTATCCTAAATGCTGTTATTAAATTGTGAGTGATGATGTTTATGCTGAGCGCCTTGTATCAAATGATCACAGTAATTTTGAAGAGTGTTATGTGAGTGTCTTGTGTTTTTATTCTGTGATGAGAAATAAAGATTTTATAATATTGTTATGGTAATTTACCCACGCATGCATGGACACTCCCAGCTACAAATAGGAGAAGGTACTGCCTTTTAGAGAGGGAAGTTTCCAGCAGTCAGCTCTGACAGTCGGACCGAACATTCTTGCTGTAACACTCTCGTTTGTATTACTGATTCTGTTAATATATTTGTTTAATTCAATTCCTCTCTTTGTGTCTTTATTTCTGGTACTAACAAGGCCACAACAGATAGATAGCGTTATGGTAATTTACCCACGCACACATAGGCTCTACCAGCTATAAATAGGAGCAGGTACTGCCTTTTAGAGGGTGAATTTCTAGCAGTTAGCTCTGACAGTCGGACCGAACATTCTTGCTGTAACACTCATTTGTATTACAGTTTCTGTTAATATTTGTTTAACTCAATTCCTCTCTTTGGGTTTTTATTTCTGGCCCCTAACAAGGCCACAACAACTACTATTACAATTATGAATATTGGTGATATGAAAACGACACACATTGTCTTTGTATCTTGTTTTTTATCTTGGTGATTCATTGTGATACATTATTTTTTTTTCTTGAATTCTTTTCATAACTCTGTTCCTTCTGTCGATGACAGGTGTTTGACAGTTCCCCATCGAGTGAAATGACTGAAAAGTTTGGAGATATCCAACAGTTTTGCAGCCAAGTTTCCAAACTAATGGTTACTGAGATCAGACGGAGGGCGTCCAATCAGTCTACAGGTAAACTAGCATTCTGATTTTCTTTTTTTTTTTCTTTTTGTTTTAAAAAAACATATTCAAAGATTTCCAGAATAAATTAAAAAAAAAGATTTGTAAAAGTTAACATCTTTGTTTTACTTCCTATTACATACAGGGTGTATCAAAAATACTTTTACAAGCTTTGGGGGCTGGTTTCTCACACTAAAACAAGGACAAACTTGACGTGTGCTGATACCTGGATCATCTCCAATACCCTGTAGAATGTGTTCTTCGTGGTCTTTCATGCATATCATGGTTTTCCTTCATCCATAGTTTGTGGTGCCACAGATCCTGTTTCAGCAACATGACGATAAACAGCAGCAAAGGTTGGATGATTCAGCTGCCTACAGTCTGGAAATGGAATCTGATATGGCTACAAAGCCTCACATCTGTTATCATTTGCGCTGCTATATATAAAAAACATATCTGCCTGCTCACAATATGAATATCCTGCTATTGTTAAATGGAACACTTCTTGGTTAACTCACTACTACACATGTTAAATGTTGAAGACAGACTAGCTACAAATGTACAAGAATGTCAAATGTAACCTAATCAAATGGCAACACAAGGCCATCTACCGTAAACTTTCTTTAAACTTAATAACTCAAAAAATGAAGGATTTGCAATCATATGAACTTTTTTTCTTGTTTTGATGTGAGGAACCTGTCTCTAAAGTTTGTAAAAGTATTTTTGATACATTCTGTATATACACAATTTATTCTGTAATGCTTGTCTCGTATTGAGAAATTTATTTGAAAATAATTGTTCAAAAAACATTTATTCGAATTGTAAATTGTTTGAATGAAAATTAATCGAAAGGACAATTGTACTAAATGATAATTCTTCAAAATACTTATGTTTAAAATACGTATGTGATCTTGCTTTGAGACAGTCAATGTTGATTTACCTAGAACTAATAATGCACTAGCATAGAATTTTTTTGCAGCAAGTGTCATCCCTTTATCCCACAATATGGAAATTCTTAGACACTCTTAAAAGAGAACAGGACTTGCAAGAAATTCATATTGCAAAAGTAAGAGCAGGTTGCCAAAATATCAAGAGTGCCAAGTAAAACGTAAATGGAAAACTTAAAAATTTATGGCATCCTTTAATGAGTACTCTTCAGTAGTTGAATATTTAGTTTCAAAAAAGATAAAAACCTTGTTTTATTGAAAATTGCTAATTAGATCCAATATCCTAACCTAGTAGATACCAAATTGCAGTTATATTTATCCGATTCAACTTTAAAATGATGAGACCTTTATGCCAGTATCATATAACTTAAGGTTATAAAGATTTTTTCTTCCTAAATTGTTTTATTAATGATATTTGTACTTCAAATAATTATCATTTGTTTATTTCCTCTTTTAATTTTACATTTTTATTGCAATAAAGAATTTTGCATTTCAAATAATTATCATTTAGTATAATTGTTCAATTCATTTTCATTCAAACAATTTACAATTTGAATAAATGTTTTCAAATAATTGTTTTACATCACAACATATAATAAGTATCAATGTGTATTCATATTTAATATGCACGAAATATATTAATAAATACACATATATTTATATATTTCCTGTTACATCTGTATTAGAAAGGGAGGTAAATCAACTTAAGTTAGTAAATGTATTAGTGATTACTTCCTTTAGTTGTTTTAATAATCTAAACAAATAAAATATTAGTCTGCATTTAGATAAAATTAGTCCCCAAGCAAAATGAACCATTTAATTAATCAGTACCTTTACTCACATGTTTGTTAGATTGCAGTCTTATTTGTTCAAGCTTTCATGTGAGGCACTCAGATGCCTTAGTCTACTAAGTGATCATCTTGCTTCAACTTTGTTTTGAAAAAGGCCTTGTCGTCACTTTCTTGTTCTGTTACTAATCTTTTTCTTTTAAGAGTTAAATTAAACTGAGCAAAAGGATTTATATAATACCAAGAGTAATCATTGAATCCTGTTAATTATGTTCACTCTTGTAGTCTCACCAAGGATTGAACTCACCATCCTTGGCTAACAAATTTGTAAAGATATTAGATTCTCATTTCTCAGCTTATGTGGATGTGTTCTTAGCAATAGCAGCCTCCATTCCTGCCAAAGTAGATTTAACCTTTAGGCATTATTTAAGTTTACTGAAATTCTCCCTCAGAGAATATTTTTCTAGTTGTCTGCTAAAGTGCTGTCACTCATTTTAGATAATACCAGGAGTAATCAATGAATCATAAATACCATTGAATATCTAAAATATGTAAATGGAATGGATTAATTAAACGGTTCATTGGCTTCTATTTTAGCTGTGTATTCTTTATCTCTGTTTTATTGAATCTCAACACATTGTTTCAAAACTTTTGTTTCATTGCATCTCACTATTTAACCTTTCTAACATTTGCTGTCATTTTACTGGCACAGGTACACTAGTTTCTTTACAATATGGTGAGAGATAGTAAAGAAAATGGACATAACCAAAGAGAAAAAGTAGGAACTGATATTTAATACAGGAAAAAATATTGTGAATTAACCAGTTTTGTTCCTCATTTATTAAAATTCAATCGAAGATAACAAAATAAAAGTATATACTGGCTAATAAAGAAAAACACAAATACACTTTCAGTAGTATTATACTAACACCAAATATTTATATGCAAATCATATTAAGTCTGAGCAGCCATTCCTTCTGTTTGCATAGGGAAGGCTGTCTAGACTTATTGAAAATCACTTCAAGTATTTTGAGATGAAATAGAAATATATACTGACTAATAAAGAAAGATACAAATACACTTTCAACGTTTTTAACGTGAAAATATATTAGCAAAAAGCCATTTATATAATACCAGGAGTAATCAATGATAAATCAACTTAGGTTAGTGATTACTTATCTCTAGTTATTTTAATAATCTATACAAATAAAATATTTATCTGCAATTAGACAAAATTACTTCCTGAGCAAAATGAACCACTTAATTAATCAGTTCCTTTACTCCTTCATTTCTTAGATTGTAGTATTATTTGTTCAAGCCTTTCATGTGAGGCATTCAGGATACAATTTCTATTAATTGATCATCTTCTTTCAACTTGGTCTTGAAATAGGCTTTATTGTCATCATCACTAATCTTTTTCTTCTGAGCGATATTTCCATTTCACTGTTATATTAAATGCAAAGTTTTTAACATGAAAAAATATTGAGCAAAAAGTAATCAATAGATACCATTGAACATCTACAAAATATAAAGGAAACAGATTTATTAAATGGTTCATTGGCTTCTATTTTAGTTGTGAATTCTTCATCTCTGTTTTATTGAATCTCAATACATTGTTTCAAGACTTTTGTTTCATTGCCTCACACAAAACTTTCTAGCAATTGCTGTTGTTTTTGATGACATGGCTATGCAATACGCATATATAGCCCTATTCTGTATTAATTCCTGACTACAAACACTATTTTTTTTTCTTCCTCTGGCAAGTGAAAGCCCATTATTGTGCATCATTTTTATATTGTTTAAGTAACAAAGTGTCAAAATCTAAAACAAATTTGGATTTAAAAATTTGATGTATAATTATGAGGTTCTACCATCAACAAACCCAGTATTAGCATAAAAAAAAACAATTCTTTACAATATACAGTGTTGTCCGAAAGATTTGTCAGCCGCTACCTCTCTTCCAAACTGTAGAAGCTTGTGTCACCCATCTTTCGTACCACCCTGTATATTGTTACATTATAAATATTTTAATTTATTTCTTAATTGTATTTTATACTTGCAAAAGCTCAAACCCTTTCCAGACTGAATTTATTTTAAAATTTTAGCAATTTTAAAGCAATTTAAATTCAATTTATTAACTATATATAAAGAAGTTATGGATTTTTTAAAATTTATTTATTTGGCAGATTTTATTACTTTAAATGTTATTTTAATGATAAAATCTGTTGGATTTATAAATAAAAAAATCCATTACTTTAGAAAATTGCTTTGATTACATTTGGACATAAAACTTGCACACAATGAAAATTTAGAGTGTATATGACAAGAAAAATTTCATTTTAAGTCAATATCAAATCTTGCTTGATCAGCAAAGATTTTTTGTAGCCAAGTCAGTTAAAGAACATTGGATCTAATAACCTGAAAAGGGTTGATAAGCCATAGGAAATGAATGAATAAATCAATTACTACTTTGTTGTGCAGGCATGTCTTTTAGATTTATTTACATTCTCTGGAATATAAATCTATAGAAACTACCATGGTCACAAAATGAGGGATCAGTTGATCAAGAAGTTGATGATTCATTATATGTAAGATTGCAATTTTTCAAGAATCCATAAATATATAGCAGGAGCATCAGACCATATATGGCAGCAATATCCACTGCATGGACGAATGGTAGACTTATAGATATGTAAGATAGATTCTGGTGAGAAAATTTGCCTAGCACAACACAGTGAACCAACTTTCCTAGTAGCTGAACTAGTAAATTAAGATTTGATAACAGAAGCAGATTCATATTATAGCAGATACATCATTCGAACATATTCTATTACCATATATACTCATGGATAGGTCGCACTGTTTTTTACCAAAAATTTCACAAAATATTAGGGGTGTGCCCTATCCGCTTGACATAAATGCAAAACAACACTACCTTGCCATCATGATTTTTGAGAAATCGGAAATGATACTCAAACACTAAAGCTGTGGTTTTTCTCTGTATAGAAACAATTTTTTTTTTTTTGTCGAGTTGACTGAATATAAAAATAATATGCAGTAAATATAAAAATGCCGGTACAACAATTACTTCCTTTTGTTTACATGATGATAGATGAAATGTATTTTAACTGCAAAAGTGTATTAATAATTGTAAGTTTTGAAATAATGGTAGATAGCTGTCATACCTGAACATACCTATTCTCTTATTAATAGACTCTCCTAGACATAATAAGTAGTAGTAGCGGTCGCCAGTTGAGCTCAGTGGAGTTGAGTGAGTCTGTCGAACATTGAAGTATCAACCATCACAACTAGATTGCTGCATCATTAATTATTATTGCAAGTTCCTAATGTTTTGTACGTCGGACCCTTTTTAGGACCGACTTATTGAAATACAAGCCTCCATTGTAAAAACTACTCTACAACAATATCTGATAATTCTTACATTTAAAAAGGGTTGTGTAACTCCCCAGATTATAGCCGACCTATCTGTGAGTCAACAGTAAATCATCAATTATAGGCCATAAAGTAGGGGTGACACCTATCTGGTGGGGGCAACCTATCCATGAGTATATAAGAAAAATCCCATCAAGTTAATTTTTCTGAGCTTAAGTATTGGTGTTGCTTTTCAGTGAAAACCAGACAAATGGTTGGAAATCTAGTAAAGAAAATCCTTAATAGACTTTCATTTGTCTTTCACCAAATTTGTTTTTTTTACATAAGGCAATTTTGAATCATTTTTAATTGAAAGTTTTGCCAGTAATTCAACATTATTCAGAAAACAAAAGAAAAATCATATGAAGAAATATAGTCTTAAGATATGCTATATTTATGGGATAAAGTGCTCAATATCAGAGATAAAGCGTAGAGGTGACAGTCTGTTTCATGCTAGATACAATCGTCAGGCCTCATGATTGCCTCTAGCATGAAACAGACTGTCATCTCTAAGTTTTGATTTCTATGTTCACTTTCATATATATATATAAGAATTTGTTCCACCCTGTTAGTGCTACTTAAAATTTCATGCAATACCAATCATCAGGCACAAGAAAATAGAATTATTTTTTTGTACCTGATGATTGGTATGTGCATTACACTACTGCAGTTTCACCTTTTAGATCTTCAGGTGAGTTTCAATATTATTATACTCCTGTCATTTTATGTTTTAATATATCAGCGAGTATATACAGTAATTAATCAGTTTCAAATAAGATAAAAACCTTGTTTTATTGAAAATTACTAATTAGATCCAATATCCTAACCTAGTGGATACCAAATTACAGTTATATTTATCCAATTCAACTTTAAAATGATGAGACCTTTCTGCCAGTCTAGCAGTATGCTTAATCCTCTACTTAATCTGAGCAGTGTAGTGCGAACAACCAACTTTTGTTAAATAGAGTTCAGTTCAAAATCCCCTGTAGGTTACCTGGATTAACATACACCTGATGAAGGCCAGAGGGACAACAGCTGAAACGTTACGGCATCAACTTTTAACCACACTCTACTTCCAGAAAATGTTCAAGCTCTGAAATTGCCAAGCATCGATTCCAGATTTCAGAGCTTGGACGACAACACCAACAAAAATGAGGATAACAATCCTCGTGTAAATAAAGCCACTTTTATTCATGACTAGCAGTAGAGCCTGGCATTGCCCAGGGATGTAACAGTAAGAGATAGATCAAGTATCGATCATCATAAAGACTGAAAAATAAAATTGACAAAGATTATTGTTTAAGGCTGACAGACATACATGTCTTAATTAGTTTTTTTTTTTTTTTTTTTTTTTACAAATTGGTCAAACCCAAACTCAAACAAAAGCATTGTTTTCAATCGTTATGAGTCTACCGATTGAATAGAATTTTATTATAAACAATTGTCTTGTAAATGGAATTTTTAAAGCATTCTGAATGTAAAAATAAAAAAAAAATGTGCAAGACAATAAGAAACACTACCTGCCAAAAAAAAGTGAAGTTTTGTTGAAATCGGTTGAAAAATGTAGGAAATCCAATCCCATATATAAATGAACACAGACACACACTCACAAACAACCTGGGTTTTATAATAAGTATAACTCAATATGAGTTGTCCCCCTTTCATTGTGGCGACAGATTCGTGTTTTATTGTGTTTTCAAATTGATTTCATGCATAAACAATTGTTTTTCCAATTTTTGGCGCTGTCAGAACCACCGCAAGGTAATTTTATGTAGTCCTGTGAAGTTTTGTTGAAATTGGTTGAAAAATGTAGGAAATCCGATCCAATATATAAACGTACAGACACACACACACACACACACACACACACACAACCTGGGTTTTATAATAAGTATGATCTCTTCTTTTTTGATTGTTTCAATAGTAATTGAATGAATTAAACATTCATGTTGTGTTTGACCAGCCTGATCCAACTGATTGGTCTGGAAAGTTACCTTTTTTTGCATTTATTCATGTCAAATTGGCTTTCACATTAATCTTTTTATCTTGTTTTCTTTTCAACCAGCAACTGCAAGCTGTTCTATTGTGAATTTTCTGGAGGTAGAATCGCCCCAAGAGAATAATCGCGGTTGGATCTTGCTGCAGACCCTCAACCTATTATCGACAGGCTCTCAAGCTCTTGTTGACCGTATGACAGCGGCATCATTGCCCTCGACTCTGGTCAAATGTCTCTACTTGTTCTTTGATCTACCCAGTGTGCCGTGCACAGATGTCTTGGAAGACGGTTACGAGTTTACACCAAAGGAACGAAGAATTTTACTTCAGAAAGTGTTTGTTCAGGTAAAATTCTCCATTTCCTTGTATGCAGATTGTTCAGATTAAATTTCCCATCTTCTATAGGATGCCGTCAAAATAAGACTTAATAAACGACTGTCCCCTCCATATGACAGACCTTTATCAATTCCCTGGCAATATTTCAACTCTATTACTCTAAAATCCCCTCTAAACTTTCATTTCTGAAAGGCATGCTCCATACATTTGTTCTTTATTGGGCCTCGGTCACATGACCCCTCTGACATACACATCTTCCTGAAAAGGAATTAATATGAACAATAAAATTCTGATCATTTTTTTTCATGCTTCACAAATATTTTTCTTAAACAAAAACAGAATACCTGACAATGCTTTGTCCATTCTTGGTCACTAGCTTCCATGACCTAAGGTCAATGCCTCAGATGCCAGTCTGGATACAAGTCACTCCAACAGTGAACCTCTCCAATGTCACCTCCACTCAGGTCAGCAGTTACCACCACTGCAATCAAATATTCCTGGGGAGAACAAAATTCATTGTCTCTTCACTTGAGACTACATAAAATTTACAAAATTCACAGAAAAAAAAAATACTGGTCCAAAAATTAAACAATACATGCCAAAACGTCCCATTCCACAGTGTCGACCAATTTAGTAACTGAGCCATATCCTTGTCACCTAAATTTTACACTTTAAATATATCATGATCCATACTTATTTCCTACTAATACTGAAACAGCACACACTTTCCATTATTATCCTATTTATTCAACCACAATCAATTAATTAGTTTTGTATTTGCATATTACCAGATTTACTTGAACAAATCTTTACAAATTTACCACCATTAATTTTCTCTAATCACCCTAATTAACCATCTGCCTCTGTGCACCAAAACTCAACTTGCACCATCTCTAATTCCTCCTGCTCCTGGCTACCCCCATGGGGAAAACTATCACACCCACTCAGCATCTAACTAATCCATTACTAATTAGTAACACTTGTATCACAGGTGATTACAAGTGTTCCTTCATCCCTTAGTCTCTATCGCAACTTGGCATCCCACAAGCCACTTGACCAATTCCTTTTGGTCATCAAGGCCCTTCTTTGACCTTGGGTGTATCTTGGTCACTTGATACTGAATACTTCATAGCGTAAAGCCCCCTCTCTACTCTTCATTATTCCCTTATCTATATAGGCAGGTGTGATAATTTCCCACCTCTCAGGACACAAACCAAAATACATTTGGAAATCCAAAAGTATGCTTACCGAATCTACTTATTCCCACAACAATTAACTAACTTAATTTTTTCCACAAAAATTAACTCACAAAAAGGCAAAAGGACACACATATGGCTCTTAAAATAAGAAATAAAAAAAATTCCACACTGTTATAAAAATGAAAAAGCAATCATTTGTCAGTTAATTAACAAAATAATTCTTAACTTGAATGCACACAAAACCATAGTCACAAAAACTTTCAACTCTTTAACAACCTGCAGAAATCACAGTGGGAATGCTGTCAATCTTCAAAACCATTTTCAATTGCGTTATGTACACAAATTGAGGCCTTTATTTGGCCAAAAGGCTGCCAGACATACAAAATTTGGATGCACCCAAAAACATTAAATGTGCCAATCAAACTCAACAAATGATTTCCACACATGGTCTAAACTTGTCTAAAAAGACAAAACAAAACAAAATCAGTCTATTACTAAAATGTTTCATCAAAGTTGACATTGTTGCATCAGTGTGAATGTGCGAGTTTATTAACCTTTCTGTTTTCCCAATTCATCTGCTCTTTTTTCTGTTCATCAAACTCTATTTGTTTACTGTTTTTTATCTCTCTCTGTTCATCTCTCTCTCTCCCCTGCTTGTCTTTCTCTCTCTCCCCCTCGTCTTTTCTCTCTCTCTCCCTGCTCGTCTTTTCTCTCTCTTCTCTCTCTCTCTCTCCCTGCTCGTCTTTTCTCTCTCTCTCTCTCCCCTGCTCGTCTTTCTCTCTCTCTCTCCCCTGCTCGTCTTTTCTCTCTCTCTCTCTCCCTGGTCGTCTTTTCTCTCTCTCTCTCCCCTGGTCGTCTTTCTCTCTCTCTCTCTCTCCCCTGGTCGTCTTTCTCTCTCTCTCTCTCTCCCCTGGTCGTCTTTTCTCTCTCTCTCTCTCCCCTGGTCGTCTTTTCTCTCTCTCTCTCCCTGGTCGTCTTTCTTCTCTCTCTCTCTCTCCCTGGGTCTCTCTCTCTCTCTTCTCTCTCTCTCTCTCTCTCTCTCTCTCCCTGGTCGTCTTCTCTCTCTCTCTCTCCCCTGGTCGTCTTTCTCTCTCTCTCTCTCTCCCTGGTCGTCTTTCTCTCTCTCTCTCTCTCCCCTGGTGTCTCTCTCTCTCTCTCTCTCCTGGTCGTCTCTCTCTCTCTCTCTCTCCCTGGTCGTCTTTCTCTCTCTCTCTCTCTCTCCCCTGGTCGTCTTTCTCTCTCTCTCTCTCTCTCCCCTGGTCGTCTTTCTCTCTCTCTCTCTCCCTCTCTCCCTTTCTCTCCTCTCTCTCTCTCTCCCGTGCTCGTCTCTCTCTCCTTTCTCTCCCCCTGTGCTCGTCTCTCTCTCATTCGTCTCTCCTCTCCTCTCCTCCCCCCTCTCCCTTTCTCTTCATTCTTCCTCTCTCTCTCCCCTGTTCATTCTTCCTCTCTCTCTCCCCTGTTCATTCTTCCTCTCTCTCTCCCCTGTTCATTCTTCCTCTCTCTCCCCTGTTCATTCTTCCTCTCTCTCTCCCCTGTTCATTCTTCCTCTCTCTCCCCCTTTCATTCTTTCTCTCTCTCTCTGTTCTCTCTCTCCCCTGTTCATTTCTTCCTGTTCTCTTCTCTCTCTCTCTCTCTCTCCCCTGTTCATTTTTCTCTCTCTCTCTCTCTCTCCCCCTGTTCATTCCCCTGTTCATTTTCTCTTTCTCTCTCTCTCTCTCTCCCCTGTTCATTTCTCTTTCTCTCTCTCTCTCTCTCCCCTGTTCATTTCTCTTTCTCTCTCTCTCTCCCCCTGTTCATTTTCTCTCTCTCTTCTCTCTCTCTCTGTTCATTTCTCCCCTGTTCCCCATTTCTCTTTCTCTCTCTCTCTCCTATTTCACAAAAGCAGAAACTAAGTTCCTGATTGCTTCCTCTATTTTTTTCTTTCTCATTATATATGCTTTCTTTTTCTCACTAAAACCAAGCAGCATCTCTTATATCTTCTACTTTTCTTCACAATCAAAATGCTCCATTATTTATTTAAGGTAATGGTGGGTTGTTATGTCCCTACTAACAGAGGGACAAGGAAAATTAATGATATGATATTAGTAAGAAATGTTATTATAAATTTTAATATTTGAAGCACTGACCTTTATTTGTCTGTACTTTGAATATATTAACCTGTAAATATTTTATGAAAACCTATATGTTATAACAGAATTAGTTTTAATAAACTGTTAGGATTTTTATGAATAATTTCTTTATAATTGTCTTTTCCAGGTATTAGTTCGTCTGTGTAGCCATATTTCTCCAGCTGAAGAACTAGCAAGGAAAGATGACCTGAGTTTGTTATTCAATGCTATTACATCTTGGTGTCACCCCCACAGCATACCCTGGAGGAAAAGTGCAGGTGAAATTCTAGTGACTCTATCACGACATGGACTCACACCCCAAGTTGTTAACTATATTCATGGTAAGTAACCACATTATTTGATTTCTGTGTGTGTGTGATCATCGACCCCTTGACTTATGTAATCATAGGGCTGGTCCGAATTCAAAGTCACACAAACTCTTTTCCACAATGGTCTATCATTGGCAGCCATCACCAATTCTGGTAGAGTGATACCTGTCCATTGTTTGAAATTGTCCAACCAGTTTTTGCGTTGGTCTTGTACAGGCTGTTGCTTCTTATAATGTGTCCAAACCACGCCATTTTTTCCGTTTGACAGTGGCAAGAAGAGGTTCTGCGTATCCCACAATACTTTCAACCCAATTCCATACAAAATCATTGTTTTTGGGTGTTTTTCCCCAATATAAAATGCCAAGGAGTTTCCTCATACATTTGTTCTCAAATGCTTGGATCCTTCTCTCCGTTTCTGCCAATAATGTCCACGTTTCACATCCATATAGGGCAATGGAGACTACCATCGATTTGTAGAGTTGGAGAGGAGATGGGCGTCACCAGGTTATCTACAAGCGCACCGAAAGGAAAGAAGTATGAATATACATACATATATATATATATATATATATATATATATATATATCTGTCTATATTTCTGAGATGAGGTATTATGTACACTATTGTAATGATAGATAGATAGATAGATAGATAGAAAGATATCATCATCATCATTTTGACTTTTGTAATCGTAGGGCGGATCCGAATACAGAAGCCAAACTAATTCTTTTCCAAAACGGCCTATCAACGGCAGCCATCAGTAATTCTGGTAAAGTCATACTTGTCCATTGTTTGGCGTTGATGTCCTCTCCTACATCCACCTTCAACAGTGTCTTTCATGAGGGTTTTCCACAGGCTGTCATACCTTTCAATATGTCCAAACCATGTCATTTTTCTCCCTTGGCAGTGGTGAGAAGACATTCCTGGTTTCACGTGTTGTGAATTGTTGCTTGATTTTTTTTTTTTTTTTTTTAATTTCAAGCTAATAGATTAAATTAAATATTTCCAATATGCAAAATACTTTGCTGTGTTTCAAAACTAATTTAAATTGATTAAATGAGTTTTTTTTTTTTTTATCAGTCATAATGCTAAAATTGTCCATACTGACAAATCTATCAACACAACATAAATAATTCATTTAAAAAATCCTTCAAAAATAAAATATGCTTTCCTGAAACGTTATTCAAGGAAGATTACCTGATTTAAAGTTTAATTATTCTGATTTGAAATAAATATCACTTTTAGGTTAAATAGTGCATAAAAGCATGTTAGACTTAAGTTTAGGAAGTTTTTCTAAGGGGAAACATAAATGTAACAATTATTTGGTGAATATAATGTGAACACCTTTTTCATACATTTTTTTAACTACCCAGTAAACTTAAGCATTTAAGAAAATATGCTAAGCAATCTAATATTTTATTTAATTTTAGGTACTTTGGCTTTGTTGTCTAAATTATGAAGTTGCTTGTTGAGAAAATGTTAGCAAATTACCAATAAATTTAAACTTTATTATAGTTACTGTTCTTATTTTATGTTAATGTTGTGTTTGGACATCCATATTTACAAAAATTATACTCACATAAATTAAGAATTCTTTCAAAAATACTGGGGGTTGTTGTAAGCTTTTTCGTCTATAATTTCTAACTTAAGTTTTTACTCGATAACACTATCACCTAACTGCTAAAATTAATACAGAATTTTAAAAATTTATAAATTACTGTAATCAAACTTTTTTAAAAATGAGAATTCTTGTAAAATTTCAGTATTCACTGAAAAACGTTTTCTTAAGAGAAGAGTCCATATCTGTCTTTATTTCTGAGATGTAATTATTTATATTATTCAAACAGACATCTTTATTGCCATATTCAGGACGTTTCCACCCTTGTACACTCTGGCCTTTTTCAGGTGATTGGAATTTTGAACTGAATTCTTTATTTCATCCACCGGTGTAGATTGTTCCACGTGCTATGCCTCTTCTGAATGAATCAGTTATCTCCTTTTAACTCAACTTTCCAATAGCTGAAACGTTGTGAATATGGCACTAAACATGAGGACAACAGTTCAAACAATTTAAATAAGAGTGTCCATAATATTTTATTTGTGGAATTAAAAACATTTATAATTAATTATTGATTTTTTTATTTTATAATTCAGAGCAGATTTTCTGTAACTAGAAGTCCTGTTTGACCAAAAGAATTTCGTGATTTAAATTCTCCAAGGACTTGTCCTTATAACTAATATAATAATTTAGTACTACAAAAAAGAATTTATTGAAATTTGATAAAATTAAATGAGTGGGGGTTAACAGATGTAAAAATAAAAAAAATATTTTTACAAAGATTATCTAAAAAAGAAATATTTCAAAAATAATTTCATTCATTTGTGAATAAGTCCTGAAAGTTTCATTAAAATCCTGCAATTATCTGAATTTTTGAAAGTATTTCCAAATCAGTGTATTTTGCACTGCAAAAAGACAGTAAAATTTATCATACTGATTTATGATCACCTGTTGATGCAAGAAATAGTTATAAAAAGGATTAAAAAATAATAAAAAAATCCTTTGGTCTTTCCTCTTAATAAAAACAAAGATTTTGACATTAAAACTTTATATTTGTCAACTTTTGGGTAATTTTTTTCATCAGAGTATGCTCATTTTTTACTGAACTTTTGTGTGTGTGTATTTATGTGTATTTGCGTATTTAGGCAGCAATCCTTCTTTCATCCATATTTCATTGAATATGACAGACAAAGTGCTTTGATTTAGTTTTTTATACAATTTCTCACATGATCTAATAATTTTTTTCTTTTCAGATGATAAATTATATAAAAACTGTACAATTGTTCTTTTTATCTGAGTGCTTTCGGCTATATACTTAGCCATTTTCAAGGTTTAAATAACAAGATATAGTTTGTTGTATGTATGTATGTATGTATTTATATGATGTTTTAATTTTCAAAACACGATCAAGATATTGTGTCCATGTTCATAGTTATTATTGAGTGTTGGTTTTTTCATTTTTATTAATAAGGCTTCCATTATTTTTAGCCTTTTTTTGCATGTAGATGATGCTATTATATTTGTGTTAATAAGTATGTTATGAATAGGATCCAGTAGGTATTCATGAGTGTTTGATAGGCAGAACTAGTTGATATTATTCAAGCAAACATGTTTGTTATATATGAGCTCTGTCTGCAAAGTAATTGGAGTGACCATGTTCTTTGATGTGAGAAGCATTATGCATAGTGAGTTCTTGTCACAGAGCCAGATGATCAATCAGCATGTCTACAAAGAGATCCTGCTGTGTTTGCCTCACTCAGTGCACTGGGAGAGACGAGAGTTGTGGCAGGACAAATTGTAACTGCTTCAACATGACAATGCACCTGCTCACAATGCCCTGAGCATCTTTCCAGTTTCTGGTCATACTGGAACAATTTCCCTATTCACCAGATCTTGCTCCATCTGACTTTATTCCTTTTCTCCAAGCTCATGGGGATCATCAAGGGGACCCATTTTGAAGGCGTGGAGGCCATCAAGAGGACCGTAATGACAGAACTGAGGCATATCCAAGAAGAATCCTTCTAGCAGTACATAGAAGCATGGCAGAGAGGTCTTGAGAATTACTTTGAAGAGAAAACCATGTCATTTTTTGTTTGGAATTGAAATACATTACTTGTGAGACCAGTCTCATTACTTTTCAAACAGGCATTATCTCCAAGTTAAGTTTTAAGAATTAATGCTCCATATCTGTTTGTTTTTCTTTTATAGAGAAGGGTTGCGTGCGCCATTGCATCGAGAACATGCAGAGAGCCCAGGAACTGTCCCCTATTGAGATGGTAGAAATGATTGTTACTGTGTTCTGCTTTCTCAAAGACTCAAGCGAAGTTTCTCATACATTATTGGATGATTTTAGATCCAGTCAAGGCTACATCTTTCTGTCTGAATTCCTCTTAAAGTAAGCATTGCCAATGGCTACTCTATTTTCATCATTATTTGAAATTCACCTCTTATTACAGACATTCTTTCTTTGTTTAATTGCTTTATTTCATTTTACTTAAGTGTCACCCTTCTCTACTACCCTAATTATCTATTGCTTCACACACATACACACACACACACACACACACATATATATATATATATTGAGACATGTTTCATCTAATAATAAGTTTTGTCTACTTATTTTCAATTGGATCTTTTCATATTTATGGCCAAGCTTTTTGATGTCATTAAAAGAAGAGAGAAAATCACTGTGTTGGATTATTTTATTCCAAGTCCTTTCAACATACCACAATGTCATCATCAGGATGTTGATTATTTCAAGACAAATATTGTAGTGTTCATCATTTTCAAAGACAAAATGACACCAAAAAACTTGTCTGTGAATATGAAAGGATTCAAATGAAAATAAGTAGACAACTTGTCTAAATTATTCAATGAAACATGTCTCAATGAAAGCATGCTGCCAAAATATATGCAATATATTTGGTTGAATAATTTGGACATATTATTGTTTTTAAAATATTCAAATTGTAATTTAAAAAAAAATTACAATTATATAGATTAAAGTTACTTCACTTAGATAAAGCATTTAAAAAAGCATAATAGCTTTAACAGTTGATTTTTAAATTAATTATAACAGAGTGCATTCATATGTGTTTATAATTATAACAGAGTGTTTCATGCGCATTTACAAAACAATATACAACTCTCAATTATATTAATTTTTTTGTCTTAGCAATTCACCCCTGAAGATGATCTTGGATGAGATTGAAAGTACTTGGGGAAAATAAAAGAAATGAAAAAAAAAAAAAACTGGTGTTTCCCTTAATGAATTCAATATCAACATTAAGAAGTTGATTGGAGAATTCAAGGATTAAATAAAAATAGACGTATGTCTAGATTATTCAACCAAATATAGTTGAATGAAGATATGCTGCAAAAAATATATATATATATATATATATATATATATATATATATATACCACAACAAAATAAAAAATTACCTTGTATTTGGGGGAGAGGGCGGTAGATCTATTTCAACCAACAAGAAGTATGTCAGTCTTATTCAAGCTCGGTTTATAGACTGTGTTCGTGTCAGAATTAGAAATTTAACTTTGACAGCAGTTGAAAAATTGATACAGAATTTATCCATTTTGACGAAATGCCTGAATTGGTGGGTAAAGGAGGGTGGAAGGTATTAGCCTTAAAGGGAAGAGGTTTTATAAAATTAACCCAGATATTAACCCTATGAAATTAAATTGGTGTTAAATTGAAACTAAAAGAGGGCCAACAAGGGAGTTTTATATATTCATAGTTTTGAGAAACAAAATTCAGTTGTAATAATTTTATCATATTTTAGGTGGTGGGTTAGGCCAAGGACTTTCCAGCATACCCCTTTAAACAGACTCTCATTTGAAAAAAAAAATATGATAATGCTGCAAAATTTACACACACACACACACACAAATCTATCCTTGATGTCTAGAACCATCTGTACTACTTACATAGTAGCAAACACTCCGCATTCCCTCCTTATTCCATTGGCAAGAAGTAAGTTTCACTCAAACAGCTTCTTCCTACAAACCACTGCCCTATGGAACAGACTCCCAAGAGGATGTTTACCCAATCACTACAATCTTAAACTGTTCAAGTTTAGAGTTAACCATTATCTTCCCCTCCTCTCCATATAAACTACCCCTTAATATCACCCATTGGCCTTGTACAGAGTGTGCCTTACTGTAAAATTATATATATATATATATATATAATCTGCCCAAAGCCTTCACCACGATAATCAAATTGATATGTACTGGTGTCTGGCTATCAGTTCCTAGGAACTGAGCTGCTTGATCCTCATACATCAAATACGACCATATATATATATATATATATATATATATGTGTGTGTGTGTGTGGATTTAAGTATATGTAATTTTGCTACTTCTGAAAATGTTTCAGGAATCAATCCAAATGAAAATCTGAAGGTTGTAAATCTGATGAGGACATCAGTTAATTGCCATACGTGATACATGCTTGGCTGATCATGTCTCTTTTGATTCATGACTGACTAGGCAGAAGATTTTTCCCACAGTAGGTTGTCACTTAATTCTACGGTAGACTGGTTGTCGACCAAGGCCATGGGATCTAATCTGTTCTGCTATTCAACCCAAAAGTGGAAAGTGAAGAGTTGGGTTCATACCTTTTCTCAAGCGTATTCACACATAAGTGAACGTAATGAACCCAACTAGAATTGGAACTCAGCTTTCTGATTTCTTATTCTGAGCTCATATCCGCAACATGATGAGTATCTCGATTGTGCAAAAATCTCCCATCTTAATGTTTTGGGGTGGGGGCATTTGTTTAGTAGAATAGGTTCAAGCAGAATTCTTTTAATGTATTGCTTTGTTTACCTGATCCTTGGTGTTAATAGCCATCTGCAGTTATGGTCCTTCTGTGCTCCACTTGTTCATAATGGATAACACCTTCATATTTCAATCGTCAAAAAGCAAGGATTTCTGTCAATGGATTCCTGGTTTTCGTTTTGGCATTGGTTTCTTATTTTGTGATAACCAATGTCTTTTTTTACTTTTCTGCTGACATGTTTTCCTTTTTAATCATTTTTTCCCCAAGTAAGGCAATAAAGCCTCTAAGACATGTGGAGTTACTGAATCTGAACGAATAGGAAAACCAATGTCTTTTTTTCCTTTTCTGCTGATATTTTTTTCTTTTTAATCATTTTTTCCCCAAGTAAGGCAATAAAGCCTCTAAGACATGTGGAGTTACTGAATCTGAAAGAATCTGGGAAAAATAATAAAGATATTATTAAGAAGAAAGAACAATAAAAGAACAGGAATTAAGAAGACAAGATAATGATTGCCCTGTTTTCAGCATTTATTTGCTATGTAGTCCACCATTACATGTTGTAAGTATGTTTAATTGTAATAATTATACCTGGGTCTTATTGATTTTATGCTGTTCAGGGAATAGCACTTTATTTTACACTGTTTAAGTTAAGGATTACTGAAAGAAAACTAGAGGACCCCATTCTTAGCAATCTATTTTGAATGCTTTGTGATTGGATGGACAGGGTATAGAATGTGATTTAATTTTTTATTGCTTGGAGGAATTCATTTCACCCCAAGCAAGGCAATAATGCCACTAAGACACAAGGAGTTACTGAGTGTGAAAGAATATAAGAAAAAGAAGAAACATTATTAAGTAGCAAAAACAGGTTTGGTTTGATTTGTTTTACGGCATATAAACCTCAATGCTGACAAGATTTTTATTGCTGGTAGTATTTTTTTCCAAAAATGTATTGCTGGTAATAATTTTTTCTTCAAAAATTTATTGCTGGTAATAATTTTTTACAAAAATGTATTGCTGGTGCTAAAACTTATTCTTACACTTTCATAGTGTTTTGACCTCAATTTGCGGGTTAAATATTTGCCTATAGCTGAGACCCTAACAGGTGCTACTACCCTAGGTTAGGGTGGATCTGGGTACACCAGCAATTAAGAGGTGGTTCCATATTCTTCAAAACCTCCTGATCAGAGGCCTTGCTGTTGGACATAGTTTATCATCTTACTCAGGATGCTGATGTAGTTTATTGTCATACCCAGTACAGGTCGTAAGAACAATAAAAAGGTTAGGAATTAAGAAGACACAAGGGAAACAATTGACATTTTATTTAAATTTTTGAGTATCACAGTTGACTGGGTAGGAAGAAGGTGGAAAAGAGTTCCACAAGCGAGAAGTGTGACAGAAGAAACTGTTAGCATCGAACTTACGGTTACTGTTATGGTGAAACACACCTATTCTATAGTTAATAGACTCTCCCACCTAATATAAGTAGGAGTAGTAATAGAAATGGGGGTCAGTCAGTGAGTCGATGTCGGACGACAGTCGAATACGAAAGCATCAGCGACCACAACCAGATTACTCTGCGTAATACCTATTATATCGTGCCTAACGTTTTGCACGTCGAACCTATTTTAGGACCGATTTAGTACAAATACAAGCCTCCACTGCGAAATCACTCCACAACAGTTACCTCTAGCCATTTCAACTGTAAAATGACAGGATCTTGCCACCAATAAAATATTTGAAGATCAAACTTGACTGGGAAGCAAGAAATCTGAAAGAGAGAAACCCATTTTGAAAGATTGGCATTCCTGATTAAAAGACTGTTTCAGCTGATGGAATGTTGGGTTCAGTTCTCAAGAGAAAACTCATGTGGAATCCAAATTTCCTTCCTGCAAGTTTTCACAGTGAAACTCTAAAATGCATTATAAATATTGCACTGTTAGATAGAAAAGATAAACTAATTTTAGATGCATTTCCCTACCATTTAACTCTTGTTCAGCCTTGTGAGGTTGACTCATAATTCATCATGGTAGAATACATAATTAAAACACCCTAATATTTCCCTTCTGTTGAAAAAAAAAATATGGAGACTTTTCTTTTTCATTATTTCTAATGTTTGTCTATTTATTTCAGACTAGAACAAAGCCCAGGCGAAGATAGCCAACAAGCTCTTCGAAATCTGGTGCTCCTAGTTGGGTCCTTGACAACATGTGGCTTTATTGAGTTGAAACCAAGTCAAGCTAGTACTGGTTCTCTCTTTCAAATGCCAGGATTCACATTACCACAAGCAACTGGAAAGGGTAGGTACTTTCCTCAGGGTTTCTAATGAATTTAAAATTTTTTTTTTTTTTTTTTCAAGCTTACTGTTATTTTGCCACCAAACACGTAACTATTTTTTTTTTTTATTGTTTAAGAAGTTTGCAAAGTTAACCATAACTGATTTTATTTATTTCCTATGCTTATGTATGTAACTCTCTCTTTATTTATATATATATATATATATATATATATATATATATATAAGGCAGGATGTGTGTAATGAATGCATTTTATAATTTTGACAGATTTGCACCAAAATTTACATGCACATGCTCCAAGTTAGCGGGAAGGCCAAGACTGACTTTGCATTTCCCAAATCCCATCGATAGTGGAAATAATCGATTTTTTCATGCTTCTACGGCAGTTTTCATGTAGTCTGCGGCTATTTTGTACTGGCCAGAGTGAGAGCCAATAGCTGGCTGCCATGAATAGGCAGGAAGATTCTATTGGCCAGCGTGAGAGCCAACAGCTGACTGACATGAATGTTAACTAGCATGCAAAAAAAATCGATAGCTGCATTCATCACAAGTGGGAAAAATTTATATCTGCATGGCACTTTACTCCAATTGGCTCATTCGCTTGCTTAAACTCAATGTTGATTCTGATTCCGCAGAACTGGGTTGGGTGTGAAAAAAGTATTTGTTGTTAACATTCTTTTTAATTCGGTTTTTCCAGTTACGAGTCCTTTTTTAAAGCTGATCGTTTTGTGTTCATTTTGTTTAGTTCTTTTTTTGTAACAGATTTAATGTTTAGTATAGAGCTTAGAAAAAATTTGCAGTGTGTGAGATAGGCAAGAAGTAAGGCATGTAGCAACATCAGCACGGCAAAGGACACTCCTTTAAAGGTAAGGAAGGGCAAAAATATTTTAAGTCAAGTGATAGCTGTATGATTCGTATGATTTTTGAATCAAGCACAGGCAACGCTGCTAGTATATATATATATATATATATATATATATATATATATATATATTTTCAGTTTATACATTATTTTTATAGATACAAATATTCAAGTAAATGCTTTGTTTATAATAAACGGTATTAACATTTACCAACCTGAATATCCAAGAAATTTCATGGACAATATGTGTCCTCTGACAGGAATTGAACTTGCATAGAACTGTCATATAGCCTGACGTGCTATACCATTTAGCTACAGGGGAAGTGTCTGGTTAGCAAGGTCAAATTACTGTTTTTAAACTACAAATTACCCATGATTTCTCTCGAACACTCATATCTGCTTCATGCATATCTTTGCGTAAACAAATGACATCATATATTATGAAATGGACTAAGTCCAACAATTATTTTAATGAATTTTCTGTTTATGTTATTTTTTATAGATACAAATATTTAAGTAAATGCTCTGTTTATAATAAACAGTATTAACAACATTTATCGGCCTAAAATTTCTCGAACGTTCAGGCCAGTAAATGTTGCTAATACTGTTTATTATAAACAGAACATTTACTTAAATATTTGTATCTATAACAATAATGAATAAACAGACAATATATTAAAATAATTGTTGGACTTGGTCCATTTCATAATATATATATTATGTATATGTATTTTTATTACTTATTATGGAGCCAAGATGACACTCACATTCACATTTCCCCCACAAATATGTATTCTGTAATAGTGTAAATAAAATAATTTTTGTAGATTAGCATTCATTAGACCTTAAGGTTATTAGAGATACCTAGCTACCTTTCACCATAGTCAGAAAAATAGAATTTAGTTAAAAAGGAAGGAACTAACTTAAAAAGAAAGGCCAGCTGGTCGCTAATAACAAAAGACCTGAAAAGAAAGGAATCTTCATGTAGAGACCAGTGTTCAATTCAACTACAATTGGTTAGTAATTGTCAATATGTTATGCCATAGTACCTATTCTATTGTAATGGACTCTCCCATAGATAATAAGTAGGAGTAGCAGTGGCAAGTCTGGCAGAATGGCATCTCGCGGTCTTTGACTGCGGACGCCTCTGTCTAACTCTCTGCGTAAGCAGAAGAGGAACCCGGACGAGGCTTTGCGAAGGGCAAAAGGTTTAAATCCGGGGAGGTGGACAGGGCCTGAACCCGTCTAGGCGGCTTCAAAGGCTATTTTTTTGGCCGAGCCTACGGCTCGGGAAACCCACATAAAAAACGGCCTTGTGCCATATTCTTTTTCAGTGGGTGAAAAGATAAATACCGAATGGCGACTCGCGGTCTTTGACTGCGACGCCTCCTGTCGAACTCTCTGCGTTAGCAGCAGAGGAACGATGAGGCTTTGCGAAGGGCAAGGTTTCGTCCGGGGGAGGTAGACAGGGCCTGAACCCGTCTAATCGGCTTCAAAGGCTATTTTTTTTGGCCGGGCCTACGGGCTCAGGGATACCCACATTAAAACCGGCCTTGTGCCATATTCGGTCCTCGTGGGTGGAACGATAAATACTGAATGGCGTCGCGGTCTCTGACTGCGCACGCCTTGTCGAACTCTCTGCGTTAGCAGAGAGGAACGGACGAGGCTTTGCCGAAAGGCAAGGTTTCGTCCGGGAGGTAGATAGGGCCTGAACCCGTCTAATCGGCTTCAAAGGCTATTTTTTGGCTGGCCCTACGGGCTCGGGATACCCATTAAAACCGCCTTGTGCCATATTCGGGTCCTCGTGGGTGGAACAATAAATACTGAATGGCGTCTCGCGGTCTTTGACTCTTGCGCCTCCTGTCGAACTCTTCTCGTTAAGAGAGAGGAACGACGAGGCTTTGCCGAAGGGCAAGGTTTCGGCCCAGGGAGGTAGACAGGGCCTGAACCCGCTTAATCGGCTTCAAAAGGCTATATTTTGGCTGGGCCTACGGGCTCGGGGATACCCACATTAAAAACCGGCCTTGTGCCATATTCGGTCCTCGTGGGTGGAACAATAAATACTGAATGGCGCCTCAAGGGTCTTTGATCATGACGCCGCCCTGTCGAACTCTTCATGCGTAGCAGAGAGGAACCCGGCGAGGCTTTGCGAAGGGCAAGGTTTGGTCCGAGGTAGATAGGGCCTGAACCCGCCTAGGCGGGTTCAAAGGCTATATTTTTGGCCGGGCCTACGGGCTCGGGATACCCACATTAAAACCGCCTTGTGCCATATTCGGTCCTCGTGGGTGGAACGATAAATACTGAATGGTGTTAGTCGAGATTCGGACATTTGAAGTACCAACCATCACAACTAGATTGCTGCGCCATTGACTCTTATTTTCCAAGTTCCTAATGTTTTGTACGTCAGACCTAATTTAGGACGACTTATTAGAAATACAAGCCTCCACTGTGAAAATACTCCACAACATTTTGGCGAACGAGAATTCAAGACTCACACAGGAAAAGAAAACCTTTTTGTACGCCTAACAACATTTTGGGTGACGGACTTGTAATCCACACGGGAAAAGAAAAATTTTTCATTTACTTTACTATAACATTGATGACGAAGAATTCGTTTCTCAGACAGAGAAAGAAAAAAAAAACTTTTTGTACGTCTAACAACAACATTGGCGACAAGGAATTCATAATTCATGCATAAGAAAAATTTTTCGTTCACTCTATAACAATTTTGGCGATAAAGAATTCAAATTCATACGAAAAAAAAAAAAATTAGTTTTTCGCCATATACAACACTTTGCTACTTAACGTTTTTTTTGGTTTCATACGGAAAAAAAAAATTTGCGTTCCCTCTACAACACTTGTCAACGTGGATTCGTAACTCATACAGAGGTGAAAAAAAAAAAAAAATTCACCTGCCATAATACACGTAACGTACGTGGGATTGCGTTTCATATTTTGAAAAATAAAAAAAATTTGCTCAAGTTATTTAGTGATGAAATTCGTATTTCACACGGAGGAAAAAAAAATTGCTCGTCAAATTTTTCGGCGACAACAACTCTGATTCATATAAAAAAAAAAAAAACTTGGCAAAAGTTTTTTTCGAAAGACAAAACGTCAGCTTAGTGACGGAAAAATCAGTCGTATTCTCAACTGAGAAAAGAATTTTATTTTTTCTCGATAAGACAGTTTGCTCAAATAGGTCACGAATTACAAATTCGTTTTGGACCCCCTGTACAATATTTAAGTATTGTGTAAACTTTTTGCGAAGATGGAGGAATGCAAAAATATATTCCAGGAATTTTTTAAGTTCCAGACGGAACAACAAAAGACAATATTGGAACAACAGCAAACATTCCAGATACAACTTCAGGAGGATACCTTTAATAGACAAATGCAATTTCAACAAGAAATGGAACTGATGCATAAGGAGTTTCAAAACAAAATTCTGGAAATAACTGAGAAGAGGAAAAAGGAAAATTTACAAAATTATTCTTTCCCAGAGAATACAATATGGAATTCGATTGAAAGATTCATGTACAGTCCAGACGAAGAAATAACTTTTGAAGAGTATTTTAAAAAATATACAGACGTGTATAACGAGGACTGCCACACGTGGTCTGAAGGAAAGAAGGTTAGACTTCTTTTAAGCAAGTTAGGAACTGCTGAGCATAATAAATTGGTAAACTACATTTTACCGAAAAAAACTAGCGTGTTAACTTTTACCGAGGTGGTAAATATATTAAGTGAATTATTTAGTAAAAAGACATCTTTGTTTCACAAAAGGTGGAAATGTTTGAATCTGATGAAAGAGGATGAACAAGACTTCATAATGTATGCAGCTAATGTGAACGAGCATTGTGAAGAATTCAAACTAGCAGAATTAAGCTCTGACAATTTCAAGTGTTTGATATTTGTCCAGGGTTTAGTTTCAGAAAGAGACGCAGAATTGAGGAAATTGGTACTTTCAAAATTGGAAAAAGAACCAAAGATTTCGGTACAGAGTTTGGCAGAAGACTGCACAAGATATGTTAGCATAAAGAAAGACTTGAAAAAGATAGAACAGACTGGCGTTTCGCATGTAAGGAAAATACGCTACAAAAAAGAAAGTCAGTCTACCAAAAAGAATTCTAAAATTGTGGATTATCAAACAAATAGTGAAATACCAGAAAAAAATAAACAAAAACTCTCGAAGCCATGTTTTGCTTGCGGTGAACTTCACTGGTATAGATATTGCAATTTTAGGAATAAAAATGTTTCAACTGTGAAAGAGAAAGGGGCATAAAAGCTTGCACTGCAGGTCAAAAAAATAAAAACAAAATAAGAAAATTAAAGTCCGACGAAGTGAACGACGGAATAACCAGAAAATTTGGTTTAAATATGTAATAAAAAATAAAAAAATGCAACTCGACACTGGTTACCTATCTATCATAAATTTGAATACGTGGAAGAAGTTGGGGAAACCAATTTTAATGAAGACAAATAAAATCGTGAGATCAGTGACAGGAGAAAAAATCCAATTTATTGGAGAATTTGTTACAAACGTCACGTTAAATAAAAAAAACGAAAAGCTAAACTATTTGTCATGAAAAATACCACAAACTTACTTGGTACGGATTGGATAACAGAATTTCAATTATGGGATTTACCAATAAATTCTTTTCTGTTACAAGGTTGAAAATTTAAACTATGAAGCTAAAAATTAGTTAGGAAACTAAAGAGAACTTTTCCTACTGTTTTTTCTCCAGGTTTGGGAACGTGTACCAAGATTGAGGCAAAATTACAGCCAAAACAAAACGCTCAGGCGGTATTCAAAAAGAAAAGGAATTTGCTGTTTGCTTCAATTGAACAGATAGATAAAGAATTGGACAGATTAGAGAAAACAGGTTTATTTAAAAAAGTGGAGTGGCTAACACCGATAATATGCGTGAAAAACAAGCTTCAGAAAGTAAAAATGAAGACATAATCAAAAAAAAAAACTGAGGAACAAGTTACACGCAACCAAGGACATGCAGTATTATTAAATGATTTAAGTCAATAAGAATCTACAGAAACTGTGAGTCCAACTTTAAGAAGTTCAAAGCGGAAGGTTGTTTCTGGTAACGCTTTGGAGATATATATAAAAAAAAAAATAATAATAATAAAAAAGTGGATTGGCTACATGATGTACTTGGTGAAAGGGGAAAAACTCACATGCAGTAAACAGATCAGACGACGTTTTTCAGACGTGTTTGACAGCGGTCCCACGAAAAAAAAAAAAAAAAAAAAATGCAGATGGAGGTGATTTTCAATAAGTTTGATCTAACAACCCCTGCAAATAATTTTACCTAAAGTACGCCGATCCAGAAGAAAAAAAAAGGCAACTGATCAAAAAAGTGGATAAAAAAATTTAGGAAATATGCTACGATGTTAAAAAAAAAAAATTTTTTTTTTTTTTTTTCTTCATATTTTCTGTAAAAAATGAAAAAAAATAAAGAAAGAAAAACTTTTTTACTCCTCCGGAGTAAAGTTTTAGTGGGGGATGTTATGCCACATACCTATTCTATTGTAATGACTCTCCCATAGATAATAAGTAGGAGTAGCAGTGGCAAGTCTGGCAGAATGGTGTTGAGCAGTCAGTGAGATTCAGACATTTGAAGTATCAACCATCACAACTAGATTTTGTCATTGACTCTTATTTTCTAAGTTCCTAACGTTTTGTACGTCGGACCTAATTTAGGACGACTTATTAGAAATACAAGCCTCCACTGTGAAAATACTCCACAACACAATAATAAATAGTTATTATCGGAACAACTTTCTGATTTAAATTAGTTCTTAGATAAAAGGTTTACCATGGGCCTGTCAGATATCCAATTCGACAGGTAAACACAGCATCAATTACAACATAGCAGAGAACAGAACATGGCATGGTTAGTTGTAACATAGTGAGAACAGCTTACAGCCAGTATGGTAGCATTTACAACTCGTCATCTTCCCTGTCCCTCAAGAAGCAGTTAAGTTGCCACAGGTAAATGTAAAACATAACTGTTGATAGGACAGTAAAACAAACAAATAAATGTAACACAGCAACAACACAGCAGGCAGTGAAGAAGAGTGCCCCAAGTCCTTGAGGCCTGTCTTGTTGTCAGATTTAGAACCCGGTGGCATCTCGATGATGAATGAGTAACCCCAAGAGAGAGTGTCTGTTTATGAATTCATAGTTAGGATAAATCAAAGATATGGCACTAGTTGAGAGATTCAAAATGGATACTTTGTAATAGACCTCATTGTATCATCCCTGATATAATATTTGCAGAGAAAGATAATGTCTGTGCATCTTGGGAATGAGTAAAGCTGTTCAATACGATGTTGCTTCCTCTAATTATAAACTGGACCAAGAAATTATGTAATAACCTCTTCATCTTCAATCCAGCTGCATGACCGATAAAAGTTTATTTTTACTGAATTATTTTGAATTTTCATTTATTATATATATATATATATATATATATATATATATATTTTTTTTTTTTTTTTTTTTTTTTCAGGTGTCAGTGTGAAGAACATTCAACTTTTCCAGGTACTGCAGTCCGTAAATCAAGGTTGGTACTTTGCTTTCAAAATAGAAATATCAGCTGTCTTTGCACTTTTGTTTTTTTTTCATTATGGCAAATACATTTAGGTACCATATTCAACATCAGTTCTAAAAGATAAAGTAAAGGATAGTTCTCTTTTTCATCCAACCGAGGTCTAGTCTAATTGGGAGTTCCAGGCAGTGCTTTGTGACCTTTGCTCTCTTAACAAGATTTGCTTTTTCCTATCTATATTTATATATGCTACAAATTAAACTAAGCACAGCTGACTTTTAAAGGGTGAAAATTGTTGTAGATTTTGACGTCACTCTGGGGTCTTTTTTTTCCCTTCCAATCCATGAATTTGTTTTGCTCATGCTAAGACTTAAAAAAAACACTATAGCAAATTCACTATTTTTTATCCATAATGTTGAATGTGTTAAAATTCTTCAGTTTTTTAAAAAGGAAAAATTTCAAGTTGATGTTAAAAATTGCTGCCAAATATTGTTGATTTATTTAAGATGGAACAATGGCATCTCTAATTTGTATTTAGATATACCGTATATCAATTTTTTTTCAATTTTTCTAGTTGTATTGTCCACCTATGTTACATATGATCCATTATAGTACATAATTAGGTTTCAACAAAATTTCTATTTATAAAAATTAAAATCTAATAGAGTGGGGGCCCATATCATAGCTTCTGGTGTGTGGGAAGGGCATGAAACCCCTGCACTGGCCTAAATATAAACACATATAGGACTTCATCAGACTAAATCAGCATTTCTCAACTGATGCACCTAAAGTTAAGACAAGTAACTTATTAATTATTTTCATATTTTTAAAAAAGCTACAGACACATGGCCTAAATGTCAAATCAAGTTTTTGTCATTTGATATTTTAAACTAGGTGCTAAATTCCTTAATCTTTAAGGAATGGATAATCCTTTCCCTTTTTTTTCCCCTCAAGGGATTTAAATCAGTCATTATCAGCCTCTCCAGAAAATAAAGAAGCAGATTATTCATAAATTCATTTAAATGAAAACTGCACCGCTGATTCTCTTTGGGAATGCTCCAGCAAAATTTCCTATTTTCAAATTTAATGACTAATTTTTTTACTTATTAAAATTTAAGGTGTGCCCCAGAGTTTTAGATATTTTACAAGTGTGCTCCAAATTAAAAAATGGTTGAGAAATATTAAAGTAATGTTTTTGTTGACGGAATTATGTGTAGGAATGGGAGGGGGGTGGCATAAAAATGCTTCATCACTCATTATAAAATAATGGTTTTTGTGTGTGTGTGTCTGTTCGTTTATATATTGGATTGATTTATCATTTTTCAACCGATTTCAACAAAACTTCACAGGACTATTAAAATTACCTTTTTGTGGTTCTGACAAAATTGAAAAACACAATTTTTTTTTGCACAAAACACTACCTGCAAAAAAAAAAAAGTGAAGTTTTGTTGAAATTAGTTGAAAAAAATGTAGAAAATCCGATCCCATATATAAATGAGAGCACACACACACACACCTGCAAACAACCAACCTGGGTTTTATAATGAGTATAACTCGATTTTATGAGTTGTCCCCCTTTCATTCTGGACTAATGCCTCTTAATCTTGTTTTCAAATTGATTTTGCAAAAACAATTTTTGGCACTGTCAGTGTCACATTAAGATAATTTATCTGCAGTCCTGTGAAGTTTTGTTCTGTTTGTTTGAAAAATGTAGAAAATCCATCCAATATATAAACGTTCAGACACACACACACTGGTTAAATAAACCTGGGTTTTATAATAAGTATGATTCTATGAAAATGGTGAGGATAGCCGTTTCCATACAGGAAACAGAGTTGGAGTAGAATATCATTGAAATACTTGCTCTTCCAAACCTCCAGAGGAATGTTATCAAGTCCCCCTGATTTCTTATTTTCGCTGTTTTTTTTAAAGCCATTTCAAGTTCTGCATCTGTAAAGTTTCCAGGATTAATGTCAAGAGGATGTTCAATGATTTGCTCAATTTCAGTATCTAAAATGTCAGGTACTTTTCCCAAGAGAACACAAGTGATCTTGTTGACAAAAAAAGAAAAAGAAAACTTGTGATGAGGGGGGGGGTCACAAAGTGCAGTGCCTACTTCGACTTCCTCTTTGTTTGACTGTCAATCCGCACGTCCAACTCTATTGGATGCTGTCCGCCGAATGACTTTGATTCCCCTGTGCTGCTGGCACCCCACTTTTTATGCTACGGCCAAAATTTGCATGTGTGCAAATATCATCTTGTTTTGGATGCGATAGGCACACATAAATTGCGTCTTCAACAGCAGCCATATTTCTTTTTCATCATCACTTTACAGGCAAGACATGTTCGTGCTCGTTTCGAATTCTGAGGTAAGCCATGTCTTTCATCACCCCACCCTGATCTCATGATCACAAAGGTGGTAGCCCGGCGATGGTCATTTTCGACGGGTGCTTCTTCACAAAAGCAGGGACACTTAGCCATGGAGCAAGATGGTTTGGTTGCCCAGCAACAACCTACATTATAACACAGAATGCCACCCGAATGATCCTATGACCATGATGTGAGACTGTAATAGACTCACGAATGTCTGAGCTAGCTCGACTAAATAGTGACAATACAGGAAACTTTTGCCCTTCATCGACAGAACAGTTAGCATTGCTGTTGGCTGAAATTTATAAAATTTATCTTGTAAAATAGCTTTTCAGGAAAATAGACTTCTTAAATGTACTTTCAAGTATTGATAGGAGTTTCCTTCTTAACCTTTTGCTTGAGGTAGTGTGGAAGGCAAACATTTTTATTATATCATTATTTTTTCTTCTAACATGGGCTAACCATTTTAGTTGTTGCTACTGTTGGAATTCTTCAAGTGATGTGGTTTTTGTTATTTGGCAGTACCAGTTTATGAAACCTGATGAAGAATGCTCAAGATGTAAAGGGTTCATTTATTTGAAGCCATTTTTAATCACTGATCTGAGAAAATGATTTATATAGCTGATAGTTTAAATATTTCTGAATGATTTGGATGTCATACATGATATCCGTGTAAGAGTCTAAATATGACGAGGCTATTTTTTTCTTTTCTAATCAATTCATTCCAATAAAGGTGATAAAGCCACTAAGTTGCAAGGGGTTACTTAGAGGAAGAGAGAATCAGAAGACTTTAGAAGGAGGAACTGGAAACGTAATCCTAAACAGCAAACAAAGGATAAACTTCTACACCTGTTCAAAAGTCCGTGGAGGAGTATGAACTGGACAATAGGCGAACGTATCTACTCCTATTGATGAAAAATAAATATATAAGAGTTCAGTTGGAGATGTTAGAAATATAGAGTTGAAGTAGATTATAGGAGGGACTGGAAACCCAATCCTAAACAGGAAATAAGAGATAAATCTCTAATCCTTGTTCAAAAGACCAAGGAACTGTCTGAACCAAGTGATAGTAGTGTGAATGTTCATAGGTTAATATTTAAACTTCTTAAGTGTACTTTCTAGTATTGATAGGCAGTTTCCTTCTTAACCTTTTGCTTAAGGTAGTGTGGAAAGCCAACATTTTTATTATATCATTATTTTTTCTTCTATCATGGGCTAACCATTTTAGTTGTTGTTGCTGTTGAAATTCTTCAAGTGAAATGGTTTTTGTTATTTGGTATTACCATTTTATAAAATCTGATGAAGGATGTTCAAGGTTCATTTATTTGAAGCCATTTTTAATCATTTAATCTTTTCATCCTTGCGCCACAATTGTGTATTTTACGCAATAAATCTTAAGACGTTAGAATTGAAGTAGACTATAGGAGGAACTGGAAACCCAATCCTAAACAGGAAACAAGAGATAAACCTTTAATCTTGTTCAAAAAACCAAGGAGAAGTGTGAACCAGGTGATAGTAGTGTGAATGTTCATAAGTTAATATTTAGATTTTGTAACATCTTGCGGTGTTGCGGGAAACTATCCTTAGTGCAAAATTTCTGGTGTTATAAAATGTAATTAACATTTTTCATGATCATGCCAGAATATGCACTCTTTCAAAAACTGTAACCAAGGTCTTCTCAGTATAGTTGTCCTATCAGTCACAGGTGAATGCTGTTGGTGTTGAAGAAACACAAATGGGAAAACTTGGACTTTTGTGCCCACAAACAAAAAATTGTGTGTCAAAACAACTGTTTTTCCCTTGACACTGCTATTATTTTAACTACCTTCACTCCTCAGATATGTTTGTTTTAAAGAGTGATGATTAGAATTGTAATAAAACCTAAACATATGATGACAGTGAATTTATACATTTTCTTTGTTCTTGAGAATTGACAAGAAAAATAATAAACACTATTTATTTATTAGATTGTGTATTTACACTATTTATTTATTGAAATGGTTGGCAAAACATCGGTTAATTGCCAATTAATTCAAACTTTATAAAATGGTAAATAAGGATTTCCTTATAGTTGATTCACATATTTTAATAACTTAGTAAATATTTATAAATTTATGAGTAAAAATTGTTTTTATATTTATTTCTTTATAAATTAGTAAATGATAAATATTACATTGGATTAGTTTTCAGAATGTTGTGTGTATACATATATGTATATATAAGATTATTCTTGTAAATAAACAATCTAATAAACAAATAGTGTTTAATATTTTTGTTGTAAATTCTCAAGAAAAAATATATAATAATGTTCGCTTTCATATGTTTAAGATTTATTACTGATATAATGGAATATGTGTACACCTGTGTTCCCCCTCACTGGAATATGATTGGCTGGTGTCTGTCATAAATACAGACAGACATGTAGGAGAGTCAGAGCCTTAGTCTGAGAGCTAAGTCTATAACGAGGCCCATTGGACTACGCCATTGATCTACACTTCTTACCTGCGACTACAATGCATACCAGTTGATTACTGCTACTGTATTCTACTTGGTTATAGCGGCCAAAACCACTTAGGTACTTCGTTCAAATATATCCCTTTCCAGGACATATCAATTAGAATTCTAATCATAGCTTTTTTAAAACAATAAACATTGCCGAAGAGTGAAGGTAATTAAAATAATAGTGATGTCAATGGAAAAACCATCCTTTTGACACAATTTGTTTTTTTTTTCTTTTTTTTTTTTTTTTTTTTTGAAAATAGTCCAAGTTTGCCCACAAATGTCTCAAGTAACGCTTAGTTAGCCAACATAGCAGACTTAGAAACAAGCAGCCAGACATTACATTCTGTAAACATATTTGACATTCTTTCTGTTTCTCTTTTCAGGCCACCTCTGTGCATTTATGTTGTAATATTTTGGACGTAATCAGCAGTATTTATCATCAAGATGATGCCAACTACTTTATTCTTGAATCGCAACACACCCTTTCCCAGTTTGCCGAAAAAATCTACCTCAAACCTCCTGATATACAGGTTTGTCTCAGTATTTCTTTAAAAATCTTGTAATAATTAAGTCGCTTTTAAAATCCTGACTTATCTCTGAAAGTATTGACAATTATTACTAAACCTAAATTTGTTCTTGCTTTGAATATTGCTCCTGTAATATATTCTTGATAAAATCTAAAAAAGAATCTGCAATATTATTGGTCCTGACCTGGTATCTCACCTTCAGTCACTTTTCCCCTGCTGTAATGTAGCTTCCCTCTGTCTTTTCTACAAATAATTTCATGGTAATTGTTCTGATGAAATTTCCTCTATTATACCTTGACTTTATGAATTTAAGTGCAGTACTAGATTGGCAGCTAGGTCTCATCATTTTACTGTTGAAACTGTAAGTTTTATGCTAAGTTTCTGCTGTCACAGTCTTACTTGTTGAACTTTCTTCTAGCTTCTTTCTTTCCAGTGAACTTTGATCTTTAAAAATATAAATGCAATGTCAATCATTATCTTCTGTCTTCTTAATTCTTGTTCTTTGACTGTTCTCACTTCTTATTTTTTTTTCTCATGTTAGAGAGACTCCTTGCATCTTAGTGGCTTTATTGCCTTGCTTGATAAAAAATATGTTTATTTCCTTCCAAAAATATCCGTAATGTAATTTTTTGCATTACTAATGATCCTGGTTTGTGTATATTTTAGAGTATCAATAAAATTGCTTAACATGGGCAAATTGTGATGCATTTTCACTATTTTGACTTGGTGTATTTAAAATTAAAATTATCTAGTGGAATCCGTATTTTAATATCTTTAGTTTTGTTTCATTGTCCAATTAAAAATATTGTACACCATCCAAAAATCCTTTTTTAAGAGTATTGGAGAAAAAGTTCAAGAACAATCTAAAGCATTAAATCTATTTGGTTCAATAAGGTGTAGTGGATTTGTAAATAGGATTGTACCTGTAGATTGAGTAGCCAATATAAATAACAGAACTAACAAGCAGAATTAACAAAGTTTGCAATAAAAAAAAAAGGAACAGGGCAAAAATGAAATAATATTGAGCAAGCAAGCAAACAATATATGCAAAGCAAATTAACAGTAAGAAGGCAAAAAGTTCACAAATTAAGAATTGAGTTTGACACGCAAAAGCAAGTTCGGACAAACAAACATAGTTTTCTGACTTCTAGACAAGGCAGCTCAGGACTAAGTCATGTCAAAATGCAAGCCGGCCTATTTTATTGGCTAAGAAAAAATCCCAGCATGCATTTGTGTGTAGTAAACTAAGAGACAAGGAAGACATTAACTACTGATCATGTGTCTTGAACAAAACAATACAACATTTATATTTATCTATTTATCTATCTGTCTGTATCTATCTAGACTCTATGAATTCAAGTTTAGTACTAGATTGGTAACAAGGTCTCATCATTTTACAGTTAAAATGTGTAGTATAAGAAAGACAAAGTAGCAAGTCCTGGGAGAGCTAATTTCATCATGCAAAGGGGACATAACACGGCTATTATAGCAAAGAAAAGTAAAAGCCTAATGACCTATTCTGACCAGTTAAGACACAGAATTGAAGAGGAAGACATCATGATGGAAGAAGATCTTGATAAAGAAGAAAGGATGAGTTCTTCAGATCAGGACAATACAATAGGAGACAAGCACTATGGAAGATAGTGGGAGTGACTCAGACACGGAAGAAGATGAGATGTGACCAAGATCTCCATTAAAAAGAACAAAAGATAAACTTCAAGGAGGGTGGGGAGAAGAGGAAAGAGGTTGTAGAAGTTAAAGAACAATCAAAGGCATTAAACCTCTTTGGTTCAGGTGGGTGTAGTGGATTGGTAAATAGGATTGTACATTGCATATGTCAAATAGAAGAGTTATAAAGCATTTAAACTATTTAAAGACAAAGCTAAACTGAAACTAAAAATATTTTATTTGCATAATAAATTTTAGGGGTACCAACTTTCAGCTTCATATTTTCTTAAGTATCAAATTTTTAAGGTGCTAAAATTGACAAAACCATGATTTCAGCTTGACAGGTGGTTCTAGAAAAATCTTTTAATCTTAGAAGTTTGTCCACAAAACAAAACTTCTGCTGCATAATCTTCAGATATTTAACAAGATTTGAGAAAAATATAAAAGTTTTCTTTAACTGCCTAACTGTTTTTTTTATTTTTTATTAAGTCTGTTAAAAAAAATCAAGCAATTTTCAAACAGTAATATATAAGGTCTTAAATGACAGGAAAACTAATTTGGATATTTTATCTGACGTACTTTATAAGTGACATGCTCTCTAAGTGGTCAGTGTTTTTTTTTTTTTTTTACATTCTTGTCATTTTTAGTTCCTTATAAAAGTAAAAGTGACATGCCTAAGATGTTTATATTTTTTTGTAATTTACAGTAAATATTAACTATTATAACCAAGATTCAAATTTGTACATGCAATATCCTTGGAGCTATGAATGTCAGAAATTTGTTGAAATCCTTGTTTGTCAAAATGAAAAAAATGCAATGAAATTTCAAGATGCTTTGACTTTAAAACTATTAAAGATACAGATTTAATTAGGATTTTTCCGGAAAGGTTACCTGTGGCCATTGGTTGATTTAAAATGAAATGATGTTGATGTCTTGCTAAGGTTTTTGGGAAAGTGAATCAAACCAAGAAATTTTTATCACTTCTGTGTCTATTCTGCCATAATTAAACCTTTTGAAAGATTTTCTAAGTCAAAGAGTTAACTTTGATTTTCCCCACATATCCCCATACACTGTGCCGCTTACTCTATAACCCTCTATTTCTAGTGGCTCTTGGGCCTTGTTTATGGAGTTAATTTTTTTTTTTTGTCAGATTGATAATCATTTTTCTCACTTTTTAAAATTTTACTGATTTATCTCCTTTTTTTTTTTTTTTTTTTTTTTTTTCTTTCCAGCAAAAATTCTTTGAACTGTTGGAATTCATTGTTTTTAATTTGAACTTTGTGCCATGCAAGGAGCTCATCAGCTTAAGCATTCTCATCAAGACACAACAGTAAGTATTAATGATGATCAAAGTTTTCACAGCCAAATACACTTGGTAAAAGTATCCATCTCCTCTCCCCAGCTATGAGTAAATAGCAGGACAGATTAGGTCCTATAGCCTTGGTTGGCAACCAATCTAGGGGAAAGATAACTCTGTATTCAAAATCTGAGGAGAGTCTTTTGAGGACCTTGTGGCATGCTGTGCACCAGTTATCTGGATACAGCTCTTCCAGAAAGTGGGGTCAATTCTGCATAAACCTTCACCACTATAACCAAATCAAATTCAAAATAGCCAAGAATTAGGAAGGCTGTAGTTAGAGAAACAGAAGATGAGGTAGGGAAAACAGAGAAGAGGTTTATTAAATACTCATATATAGAATGTAAAAAACTTGAGTAAATCAGCTCCTCTTCAAATCCTGCTCTAATATGGCTACTTGCCATATTCATAAGTAGCAGTAGTCCATTGTCACATTTTATATATATATATATATATATATATATATATAGAGAGAGAGAGAGAGGGAGAGTTAAAAATCAGGAGGTCAGTTGAATCTGATACCTTGGTTTCAAACTTACGGTATCCTCAGGCAATTTTTATTTTGATAAAATCGCCTGAGGATACTGTAAGATTGAAACCAAGGTAGCGGATTCAACTGACCTCCTGATTTTTAATTTTCTCTCTCTCTCTCTCTCTCTCTCTCTATCTATCTATCTATCTATATATATATATATATATATATATATATATATATATGAAATGAGAAACTATAGAGCCAGGATGCTGAAGGTAACACCAATTAGCTAAGTGAGAAACTTTATATTTGTATTAATTATATATATATATATAAGGAGACAACCCAGGAGAGTTTTAGAAAATTCTGAATTTGTCTGGAGGCTATGGGTGAAGCCAATTGTAATTTTATTGAATAAATTGACTCTTTAGTATTTCAAAATATTTTAGTGTAATTTTGGTAAATGTATCTGTTAAAATGAGATATCAGTGTTATTTTGATTTTTATGTAATTTAAACAATTTATCCATTGCATCCTGTACTCTAAGGCCTAACTCGGGATGTCAGTTTTATTTTGGATTATCCAAATATGGCCTGGGGGAAATTATCTTCCCTTCCTTTATACGTGTGCTATACCTGTTGCTACTCAATACAATTTTTCAGAAATGTCCTCCATTTAACTAACAGTTAAGTTACAAAGAGCTGAAGAGAGAGCCATTAGTTGATGCATGTAGGAAATCAGTTTCTCCTCAGACCAATTTTCAATGTTCAACCCAAAAAATGAAATGCATCAAAAAAAAAAAAAAAAATACTCTAAATGAATCCATATACAATTAATTTTTAGTTTCTGTTTTATTTTGCTAATCTATTTTATTTGCTTTTCCTTTCTATCCAGTTCTGTTGGATGCAGTATTCTTTGTATGAAGAGCTTGCTGAAGATTCTACGCTATCACAATGTCTACAAGGATGTATTTCGAGAGGTTGGCATGTTAGAAGTGATGGTTACATGTCTCCATCGTTATGCTGCTCTCCTCAAAGAGCCTCAAAATGGAACAGGTATTTTTTTAAACCTATTTTGTCTTTGATTTGTAATATGAGTCAAATAATGCTGCTCTTCTCACAGAGCTTCAAAATGGAACAGGTACTTTTAAATTTAAAAAAAAATCTATAGGAAGCAGTACTGGGTTGGGTAAATCATATTAAGCTTAAAAATATGACAATAGAGGCTATATTTCTAACTTCACTTATTGTGGTTTCAGAAGCAGTTTTTATGCTTTTTGTCTTCAATTTGACAACTGTAACAGAACAGGACAACAGGTTGTAGCAAAAAAAAAAATGGTATTATACAAGAGCCACTGTGAGTAGAAATAATCAATTTTAAAAAATTAACTTTTTTTCATATTACTATAAATTTTTAGATTACGATTATGAATTTTTTTTTCTTTTTTAATGAAATTTTATAAATATTAATCAAGTAGTTAGCTATGTAAAGTCATTGTGCATTGATTCCCACTATGGAGGCCAAAACAAAATATGCTTATATATTTGTCTAAGTAGTCCAAAATATGCTCATATATTGGTTAAGCAGTGCAGATTATGAATTTAAAATAAATGTTTTATGCAATTTTAAAACATTTGGCATTACTATATTATGGCCCTGTTGCTTCGCACTTTGCTGGATGCCATTCTTACTTTGGTCTGTGTCCATTGGTCTGTCTCTGGCAAGCCTGCACTCCACCAATCACATGTCCTCACGTTGTGTTTCGGTATCCAAAGGAATATCTGTAAAGACTTATTGCAGATCAGGCTTGACTCTTTTTTGTCCTGGCTATTCTTGTGAAAGACTTAAGTCACCAGTATCGTTGGTAAACTTACTTAATTAACTTCAACAACACTCGTTAAAAAATGTAAAAATAACAACCTTTATCTATGATACTTGAGTCGTGTTGCAGAAGAAGCAGAAAAGACTGGCCTCTAAATTAACATCAGGAAGACGTAGGTCATGAGGCTAAACAACAGATAACAAGATCCAGTGTGACTACACCAAGAAGACATCAAGGAAGTCGATAAGTTTGTATACCTGTGAAGCGTCATCAGTAAAGATGGGGGGAGAGATGAAGATATTAAGCGCTGAATCAACAAAACCTGACATGCTTTCAACACTCTGTGGTCAATCTGGATATCAACAACCCTCTCACTTTACAATAAGATCTGGATCTTCAGCACCAATGTAAAGTCAGTCCTAATTTACAGCTCAGAAACCTGGTGGGTAACCAGGACCAACATCCACAAACTTCAGACATTTACCAACCAACGTCTCGGGAATATCCTCAATATCAGGTGGCTGGAAGTTGACCAACTGTGGGACAGGACCAGACAAGACCCAATGAAGATTGACATCAAGAAACAAAAATGGGGATGGATTGGCCACACACACTGCAAGCCTACTTCTGGTGTCACCAGGCAGGCCCTTGACTGGAATCCACAAGGGAAGTGAAAAGTAAGTCAACCAAAACAAACTTGACGCAAAAGTGAAAGTAGCCAGCATGATATGGGTCAAGCTGAAGAACTGCATTCCTTGGAGAGGTGCTGTTGTGGCCTTATGTTCCCTAAGGAATCAAGAGGTATAATAGTACTATGATTGATTAAGATTATGAATGCATAAACAAAAGGGATTTGATGAAGTTTCCCCGATATAAATTCTTAAGCTGGAAGGAAGAGATTGACTGGTGGTTGCAATTATGGCTAAACAACCCAGAGTCATTCAACTATTTATATGAAAACATCTGATCAAGAGAATTCAAAAAATGGTGTAGAGAACAGGTCTTTAGATGATTGAGGCATCATGGTCATCCGGCAGGGAGAGTGTTGATCTACTAGCGGCGAGACCAGTTTGATCTTACTTCTCTGCTCTTTTGGCAACTGCTTTTATGTTGGTGTCAACTCCAATTGCACTGCTCTGATTGGCTAGCCAATAATAGTGCTTGATTAATGGTCTTGTTTCGTATGCATCGAAGGGGAGAAAGGAAAGCCTCCAAGAACCCAATATGATTGCTGGTCCAATCAAAATAATGGTCCTGAGTCATATGTATCAAATAGGGGAGATGAGAAGCTCCATCCCAGCCCTTCCCTCATTAACAGGTCAATCAGAATTGTGGCTTTGTCTTGCTCATATCCACCTTCAGTAGAACATTTCTCATATTACAGAATCTCATCTCCATTATCACAGGTGTCATTGTTGCTGTTGCCATCTGACAGTGTGTCATCCCCCTGATCAAAACACACCTGACTTGTAAACATTTACTTTGTGTCACTCATTTCAATCAGTAATTCCTTTATCAAATAAAAACACTCAAGTTTAACAGACCTAAGACTGTACCTAATAACTAGTCCCTCCCAGGCTCACAATTTCACCTCTCACACTATACTCCAAAAGTGACACAAACCTGAAAATTTGTGGTATCGCATTGTTTAAACATGAAAAATATCTTTCATTCCTTCAGAAATGAAAATTTGATCACCAGTCAAACTTTGACACTATTGTGTCATAATGTGCTTTGATAAAGTATATTTAGGCAGCAAGTATTCATCAAACGAGTTTGATTAAAAAGAACTGGCAAGGTCTGTCTGTTTAATTTTTTTGTAGTTTTCCAATTTCTGGATAAGGTGTTGATTATTGTGCTCAAAGTTGTGGATAAACTGTCTGAAGTTCATATTTTGTTATTTGTCTTAAAGTACTTTTGACTTTCACAGTCATTAACAAGAATCAATTTAGTGTCTGTGTGGTAGTTAGAATTCTTTTGTCTGCATCCTGGTATTCTTTGGGAAACTGAACGCTGGAAATGGTCTGGCATGACGCCATGTGTAATGGCTATTGGGAACGAGGCTGCACAAAAGATTAAATTTATTTATTTATTAATTCAATTTAAATTTATATTTTTATATAATTTTTTAATATAATAAAATAACATTAATTATATCATATATTCTTTAATATACCTTCTTCTGTGGTTAATGATATTTTATTTAATGTGGGGTGTTTATTTTGTATAATAATAGCTTCTAGGGTTTTGTGTCTTTCCTTTCATTGGGTACTGTAGAATGTTTTGTGGTTATCAACTAGTATTTGTCTTATGCTGATAGTTGTACTTTAGTCATTCATGAAGGGCTTTTTGATGCATGCACGGATTGCACTGAGTTTCGACAATCTTTGAACAAGTCAGTCTATATATATATATATATATATATATATATATATATATATATGAAAAATTTCTCAGAGTTAACCTGTAGAGAAAGACAATATGTAAGAAGGTAAAAGACAATAGGAAAACTATTATTAGCTGACATGTTTTGTCCAATGTGGACTTTTTATAAGGCAAAAATGAAATTAATTTATTGAAAACAAAGTAACTATTAACAACAAACAAAATGTTTGTGATATATATCATATACACTTCAAGATACCTTCTCCTGTGGTGTATATTTTATTTTATGGGCTGTTTATTTTGTATAATAATAGCTTCTGGAGTTTTGAGTCCTTCTTTGTATTGGGTGCTGTAGATTATTTTGGTGTTTTGACTTTAAAAGAGGGATCAATTTACAATGACTTTACATAGTGAACTAGACCCTCTTTTAACTTTAAAAAAAATCATTAAAATAATCAGTTGTGATCTAAAGAGCTTAATCTATAGTAATATGGAAAAAATGTAGGCAAATGATTATTTCTAATTGCTGTGCCTATTAAAATCTTTTTAAGCTTGTCAATTGCTATCCTTTTTCTTATTTTTAGTCTTGATTACAACTGTCCTCAATGTCTATCGTAATTGCATACATCTCAGAAGAATAAATAATAAGGGCCAATTCATCCCTTTCATTGTCCCTAACTATTACCGATAATTCCTTTCAGAGCTGTGGAGTTGGAAGCAATTAAGAGATCACTGGAGTTGGTAAAATTATACCGACTCTGACTCTAGTTGAATTTACGCTTTATGTAAAAAGTCTTAAATTGTAGAATTTTTATTTTTTATTTCTTCTACTGTATATTTACTATTTCCTTTAAAAAACTTCATCCTGAATTCTTTTTTAAAGTCATTTTATTTTTTTGTAGTCATTTTGCATTTGCAAAACCATATATGTAAAAAAGTCCTACATTATAGAATTTTTATTTTTGTTCTGACCTTTACATCCTGTAAAAGATTATATTTTAATTTCTGTTATTTAGGTTTATTTTTGTTCTGTACTTATTTCTTATTTGCAAAGATATATACAGTGCTGTTCGATAAAAGTGACTCACCTGATTTTTTTTACTAAAAATATTTTTGTCTATTGTTTTTGGGGTTAAAATAATTTTTAATCTTACTAATATAAAGACCCCTTTCCGACCACCTAGGAAAAAAAGTTTATTCACCCTAAGGTATTCTATTGATAAGTATAAATTTGGATATAAATGAGATTCAGGAAAAAAACTCTGTGCAAAAAAAGTGACTCAGATATCGCATTCTAATGATTAAACTGGTAAATTTAAAGAGCTTTTGACAAAATATTGAAAACTATTTTACAATACACTCAGAACACTATTCTAGAGAATTCTAGAACAGCTTAAATTAAATCTAGAGTATTCCAGAATATTCCAGAAAGCCTCATACAGTATAAAAACGGCTTGAAATAGCCACTCAAGTCACTAACCAGATGAAAGGGTACAAACACGCATCAAACCACTTAAGGCATCTATTATTGCCCTCACAAAAGCAGGTGAGTCTACGAGAGAAATTGCAGAAATTGCTATAACCTCACAATCAACTGTCTCTCGAGTGCTTCGGGCACATAATGATGCCACTCCTGCTCCAAGGAAGGAAACAAGGGGACGAAAGAAAAAGATTGATGATAGAACTGGCAGGGTAATCAAGAGAGAAGTTGCAAAGAAAAGGACTATAACTAGCCAAGAAATTGCAGCCAGTCTAAGCGAAGACCAAGGTCCGTTAGTGGCTGTTAGAACAAGGCTACAAATCTTGTACACGAAGGTTTAAGCCGCTAATAAGCAAAGCCAACAGACTTGAATGGGCTCACTATTACAAAAATTTCACCGTAGAAGACTGGAAGAATGTTCTCTTCTCCGATGAAATGAAAGTTGAGCTAAATTCAAAGAATAAGGTGAGTCACTTTTATCGAGCAGCACTGTATATGTAAAAAGTCTTACATTATAGTATTTTTTTTCTTCTTATATCATTTCAAATATTTTGTCTTTAATTCTGTCAGAAAATATTGAAGAATGAATAGATATGCTATAAAAGCCACAATATCTTTATTCTTTGATATAAACCAGTTATAATGATATCGACCTACTCAAGTTAGTAGTATATGCATAGGCTTTATGAGATTTGTAGGCCATAATCACTTAATTACATAAAGAGGTGTCAGAGTTGAAGGTTTTGTGTTTCGACCCCACAGCCCTGATTTCTTTGTTCATGCTCCATATACCACCCAAGTCTTGTAAATATTTTTTGCCCTTCACATCAAGAGCCTAGCTGGCATACATCACTTTTCATTATGTAATATAATTGAACTTGAACAAATTATGCCAAATAAGATATTGTACAAAGAAATTTAATTTTTTTGGTTTGGTTAATTTCAGAAAGAGAAGCAATCACTGAGGAACAAATGGAACTTGGATTTTTGGTGATGGAAGCCCTTGCCACTTTGCTGAATAGTAACAGTAGCAATGCCAGTAAGTCAACAAAGAGAATTTTACCGTTATTCTTGCTTCTTGACTACAGAACATGTTACTTTTTTTTAATACTGAATTTTACTCAATACAAGACTTGAGAGCCACTCAAGGTAGAAGGTTCCATTCAAAATGGTAATGATGAAAGATGTGTGTAATATGAATGAAACAGAAAGTGGTAAGGTGAAAATTTTTTAAAATAAATTTTACCCAATACGTGACTTAAGAGCCACTCAAAGTAGATTCCATTCAAAATAATGATGAAAGAGGTGCATAATATGAATGGAAAAGTAAGTAAGAAATAAAGATTTTTTAACTAAATTTTATCCATTACATGACTCAAGAACCACTCAAGGTAGAAGGTTCCATTCAAAATTCTAATAATGAAAGAGGTGTGAGATATGAATGGAAGAGAAAGTGATAAAATGTGAAAACTTTTTAATTAAATTTTACTGTATGCAAGACTCACAAGCCACTGAAGGTAGAAGGTTCCATTCAAAATTGTAATAATGAATGATTTGTGAGATAGGAATGGAAGAGAAAGTAGTAAGAAATTAAATTTTTTTTAGTCTATTTCACCTAATACAAGACTTGAGAGCCACTCAAGGTAGAAGGTTCTGATCAAAATGCTAATAATGAATGAGGTGTGCAACATGAATAGAATAAAAATGTTAAGAAATGAAGATTTTTTTAATGAATTTGACCCAATACAAGGCTCAAGAGCCACTCAAGGCAGAGGATCACAATCAAAATAGTAATGCTGGTATATGGTGTGTGATATGAATGGAAAAGGAAGAGGTAAGAACACTTTGGGCCTTCTTGTTCTCCTGTTTTCCACTGACATTAAGTGGAATGATTATATTGAATCAATTGCAAGTTTTGCTGTTTGGAAAGTTTGTTCTAGTCAAAGTGTCCTTTTTGTTTACATTTTCTCTAAAACTTCCTCATTACTCACATGATCAGTCCATGGTATTCTTGGCATTCTTTTGTAGTACCATATTTCTCTTGCCTTGAATCTATTCTTCATCTGCGATTGTCCAGCATTCACTTTGTATAGGAGGACTGCTATTATATGACGGCTTCTTCCCATGAACAGCTGATTTGCAGAATTGACTCCGAAGAGGGTGTTTTCTCGATCACTACAATCTTAACTTGTTCAAGTCTAGGATTAACCCTTATCTTCTCCACATATCTGCATAAACTGTGCCACTCACTCTGTATTCCTCTACCTTGAGTGGCTCCTAGGCCTTGTACAGGGTGTACACTGTAGAAAGAAACAAAAAATAAACAGTTCAGTCTTGAAAATGTATACATACATTGATAGCAGGCAGTTTAAATTTCATGATGACATACAAGTACATTTGAAGATGTATGTATGTATGTATGTGTGTGTGTGTGTGTGTATATATATATATATATATATAAGAAAAACCAAAACTGTTAGTGGAATCAACAGACAATTTGCCAAAAGACCTAAATACACTTAAAGAAGATAAAATCTTTTGCAAGGACAGCAATAAGAAAAAAAAAGTCCTAAAAGCAAACACCAACCTACTCACTAAAATGCTCAATATATATATATATATATATATATATATGACAAATGGAAAAACATTGAAATTAGATTTGATTACACATTTTGCCTTTATTGGCTTAAACAGATCAAAAAGAAAAAAAGAGGAAATATGTGTGTATGCTTAAGTAACAAAATCTAGTTTCAATAAACTGATTTTCCATTTGTTCATATTTCTTCAAAACTTTGTCACGATTTTATAGCTTGTTTTCTATGCACACACACACACACACTCACACAAAACATAATATTAAGAGCAGGCAATGTAAGTTTTGTAAAGATGTATAAGAATGTCTGTGGAAGTGTTAATGTTTGCCTGAAAGTCTCCCGCAGTTAGTGTTTTGGTAATTTGATAAAAATTGGGTTATTGGCCATCTACCACTTCAAAGAAGAAAGACTACTTAAAGAATAAAGTGTCAAATTGTAATGACTTCAGGAAGGCTAAAAGCAATTTTTGTTTTTGACTCAACTCTTGACATCTTTCTAATTCTCTCAGATCTGAATCAGAACTGGATTTTACTTGATTCCAAATAACAAGACATTAACACCCACTTTTCACAATTGTACAAAATATCTATTAAAAACTTCTGATGTGTAGATATTTATGCTTAGATGTGAAGATATTTGTGTGTGTGTGTGTGTGTATATATATATATATATATATATATATATATATATATATAACACTGATGCAATGAGAACGAAAGTAATATATAAATTCCAACGTTCACAGCATTAATCCAAAAGAGGGCTCGATACTGATAATAGACCGATAATTATTTATTTATTATAATTTTATCATATAGACAAAACCATTTTACTCACTACAAAGATTTTTTTTTTCTTCTCAAACAAATGGAAAAAAGGAAGTGACATTTCACACACGGCTTGCCTACAAGCAGGATTCTTCATAACCATTTTTGATTCTCACCCATCGAAGTGCAGTTGAAATGCACTGAAACCAAGTTGCATCTTTGTAGTGAGTAAAATGGTTTTGTCTATATGATAAAATTATAATAAAGGAATTAGACATTTTTATGTTTCTACATTCTTTTTATGGATACAAATATTTAAGTAAATGCTCTGTTTTTATAATAAACAGTATTAATAACATTTACTGGTCAGAATGGCCGAGAAATTTTCATAGAAAATATTCGTCCTCCGACAGGAATCAAACCTGTATCCTATACGGAACCGTCATTTAGCCTGACATGCCTTAACCGATCAATCCACGGAGAATCGTTCAATTAGCAAGGTCAATTTTACTGCTTTTAAACTTCAATCTTCCATGACCTTGAATGATTCTCCATGGCTTGATTGGTTAATGCATGTCAGGCTAAATGACGATTCCGAACTTTGTCCATTTCATAATATATATATATATATATATATATATATATATATATATATATAGGCACATGACTGAGTGGTTAGAATTTTTGCATTCTGATCATGAGACCCAGGTTCGAATCTCACCATGGTTGATTTGTCAGGAAGGAGACTTCCTGATATTATCAGAGTAGAGGGGCTGATTCCAACAGGTGGCATCTTTTGGAAATTTCCTGAAAACCATGTCACACGTTGACCCAAGCCTTATGAGTGAAACTGGGTAGATGGAACTCTTAGGGGGCATCAATAGCCGTGCTACCACAAAGTCACAAATCATCGTGGGTCAGGATTTGCGCACACTAGCTTTGTTCAAATTGTTGATAATGTTGATAGCACGCTCTTACCTAAAAACTGTAACTAAGGTCTGCTCAGCATAGTTGCAATATAAACCACAGGTGGACTCTGTGGGTGTTGAACAAAGAAATGTGCCTGAGCAAGCATCTAGAATAGGGATTGGCTAGTAGATGGGTAGCCTCAAATATGAGAATCAAGTTCTCTCAGTCACTATATGTTTATATAAAAATAAATACACTTAAATTCACCTTCATCCCTGTCGTGCGCCAACAGCTTAGTGGTAGAATCCCTAACTGATGCCAATTCAGTCAGATTTCTATCCTAGCTAGAGGCAACCACACTGATGAGCTGTGAAACAGTCTGTCTGTGAATGACAAAATAAATATATATATATATATATATATATATATATATATATATATATATATATAATTAATACAAGTAAAAGATTTGTCATTTATCTGGTTGATGTTACCTTCAGCATTTTGATACCAGAGTTTTGTTGATGCACCCTCCAGGAATTACTCTATCCACTTGTCAGGGGTTATAAGCAATTGACTGCTTATACTTCTTAATTTTTTCTTTTTTATATACACTTTTCATCGTTGCAATTTTTTTTCTCTCAAAGTGTATGTATGTGTGTGTTTGTATGTATGCACCTGTATGTGCATACATGTAGAATGTACATTATCTACATTATTCAAACTATTGTCCTCATCTTTGTCGCCATATTTGTTACAACGTTTCGGCCGTTGTATGCTCCGGCCTTCTTCAGGTGGTTGGAATGTTGAACTGAACCTTTTATTTCGCTCACTGGGGTAGACTGTTCTAGTTCCTCTGACTGAAATAAAGGGTTCAGTTTGACATTCCAACCACCTGAAGAAGGCCGGAGCGTACAACGCCCGAAACGTTGGGATAAATATGGCGACAAAGATGAGGACAATAGTTTGAATAATGTAAATAGTGTACATAATACCTCATCTCAGAAATATAGACAGATACTGAAGAAGGCCGGAGCATACAATGGCCGAAACATTGTAATAAATATGGTGACAAAGATGAGAACAATAGTCTGAATAATGTACATAATAACTCATCTCAGAAATATAGACAGATAATGTAGAATGTTGTGATTATTTATTCTTTTGTTTCACTTTACACTCGCTCCTTAACCTTCTTTCCTTTTTCTTTTCCTATTTTCCTTCAATTGCTGCTATTTGACTTCTAGTTTTCTAGACATGCTGTTGTCATTAATTTTTTATGCCAAAACATGTAATATTTTTTTTCCCTTCCCACAGGTGTATTCCGTGAATGTGGGGGAGCCCGCTGTGCACACAACATGGTGCCTTACACTGATTGCCAGCATCAAGCTCTCAACATTGTACAACAACTGGTTCTCTCACCTGGCGGTGATGACGATATGGGCACTCTACTTGGACTAATGCACACAGCACCTGTCACGGCCCTGGAGCTGAAAACCCACATCTTAAAGGTAAGAAATTAAACAGTGATGATCCATGAACATTGAAAGCAATAGTTGTCATGGAATGGCTGGCAAGATAATTCATGAGATATTTCTTCCATTTGGTTCTTCTTATTGTGGTAGTGTAGTCCTGGGTATGACGATAAACTACATCTGGCAGCAAGGTCTCTGATCAGGAGATTGGCGGTTTTGAAGAGTGCGGAACTACCTCTTCATTGCAGTTATTCTCAGGTCCACGCTGACCCAGGGTAGTAGCACTTGTTAGGGTCCTAGCTATAGGCAAATAGGGAGTCCTCTCTACCAAACAAAAGCAAAACATGATAAAAGTATAAAATACATTTTTATAGTAAAAAATATCAGCAATACATTTTCATTTAAAAAAAAATTACTAACAATATTTATAGTAAAATTACTGACAATATGCACTTACTAAAAATTGTAGCGACTTCACCCAAATCCATTTAAAATACTGCTGAACAAACAACATAAAAGAGCTTTCATGATATTAAGCCATATAATATCAAAAACTGTATTCCAAAATATAACATCAACAAAACTACAAAATAAAACGCATATCACTGCTTCTAGTAATATAGCAAAGAAAATGGCGGCTTACCTCGTCAAACCAAGCGACAGCGTGTTGCGTGTATCCTATGACAAAATGTAGCAAAAAAGAAAATTACTTACCAAATAAAAGGGCACGTATTCCGCATGACATGCTGAAAATGGAATATTTGGATTAAAAAAAACAAATCCTTCACAGGAGTCTCTATAAAAGTATTTTGACATGCAAATTACTGAACATCCTCTCCCAGCTGTCGACGAATGGAAAAAAAAACGTTTGGCCGATAAAAGCAGTTGGTGTTCTCGAATCAGGGGGGAAAAAAAGTCAGCGATTTTGGCTGCCGAGGGCGTAATTTTTCTGACTGGTTTGCGTGCATTGTGATTTGTGAAATAGTACTTGCGAATCGAGTTTTCGGCATTTTTCTTTCTGTCCCTGATGTTCGAGTCTGAATTTAGTGATTTATTCTCAGTGACGTGGAAATAATCTGCAACAAACATTTTCTTTGCAATCAATCCCAGATCGCTTACAAGTAATTATGTCCATACAAACATGTATATGCACAAAAGCTGAGTATCATCTACCATGTATTCTATTGTGAAAGCAGAATAACAAAACTACACCATAAAACACACATATCACTGCCTCTAGTAATTATGTCCACAGAAACATGTATATGCACAAAAGCTGAGTATCATCTACCATGGATTCTATTGTGAAAGCAGAATAACAAAACTACACCATAAAACACACATATCATTACCTCTAGTAATTATGTCCACACAAACATGTATATGCACAAAAGCTGAGTATCATCTACCATGGATTCAATTGTGAAAGCAGAATAACAAAACTACACCATAAAACACACATATCATTACCTCTAGTAATTATGTCCACAGAAACATGTATATGCACAAAAGCTGAGTATCATCTACCATGTTTTCTATTGTGAAAGCAGAATAACAAAACTACAACATAAAACACACTTATCACTGCCTCTAGTAATTATGTCCACACAAACATGTATATGCACAAAAGCTGAGTATCATCTACCATGGATTCAATTGTGAAAGCAGAATAACAAAACTACACCATAAAACACACATATCACTGCCTCTAGTAATTATGTCCACAGAAACATGTATATGCACAAAAGCTGAGTATCATCTACCATGTATTCTATTGTGAAAGCAGAATAACAAAACTACACCATAAAACACACATATCATTACCTCTAGTAATTATGTCCACAGAAACATGTATATGCACAAAAGCTGAGTATCATCTACCATGTATTCTATTGTGAAAGCAGAATAACAAAACTACAACATAAAACACACTTATCACTGCCTCTAGTAATTATGTCCACACAAACATGTATATGCACAAAAGCTGAGTATCATCTACCATGGATTCAATTGTGAAAGCAGAATAACAAAACTACACCATAAAACACACATATCACTGCCTCTAGTAATTATGTCCACACAAACATGTATATGCACAAAAGCTGAGTATCATCTACCATGGATTCAATTGTGAAAGCAGAATAACAAAACTACACCATAAAACACACATATCACTGCCTCTAGTAATTATGTCCACAGAAACATGTATATGCACAAAAGCTGAGTATCATCTACCATGTATTCTATTGTGAAAGCAGAATAACAAAACTACACCATAAAACACACATATCATTACCTCTAGTAATTATGTCCACAGAAACATGTATATGCACAAAAAGCTGAGTATCATCTACCATGTATTCTATTGTGAAAGCAGAATAACAAAACTACAACATAAAACACACTTATCACTGCCTCTAGTAATTATGTCCACACAAACATGTATATGCACAAAAGCTGAGTATCATCTACCATGGATTCAATTGTGAAAGCAGAATAACAAAACTACACCATAAAACACACATATCACTGCCTCTAGTAATTATGTCCACAGAAACATGTATATGCACAAAAGCTGAGTATCATCTACCATGGATTCAATTATGAAAGCTGAATAAAATATCATGTTTTTATTACTTCAAAGCTCCCAAGAAAATTAAATTTTGGTATTAAGTGACCCATAAGGAGTTGATATGATGTTAAACAGACAAATGATATATTGTGCTAGTGAATTTGGATAGCATTTCAAAACTTCTAGATATGAAGATGAAGGTAGTGAATATAATATCTCATCAGTTCCAGTTAAGATATCTTGAGAGAAAATCTATTACCTTAAGTCCTCTTACCTCTTTCTAAATATTTTTGGAATTCAAAAGAAGCTCATAAAACTCCTAAGGTAAAATAGAAAATATGCAGACAATTCTGTGTGCTTGTTTTCCTGTTTAGAAAGTTGGTTCTCGTCAAAGTGTCCTTTTTGTTTACATTTTCTCTAAACTGATAAAATCCAATGAGTTGTGAGTTCAATACCTGGCTACAGCAGAGGGGAACAAAAACTTGGTGAGTTACTAAAGGGAATTAACTGAAACATCCAGAAATAGCATGGCACATGAAACTAGAACAATCTAATAAAAGGTTTGGTTCAAAATTCTAATGTATATCACCTGAAGAAGGCTAGAGCATACAATACCCGAAACATCATGAATATAACAAATGTCTGCGGCTTCTCAGTCTCACGTTGACTGCTGACCTGAGATGGAATAAATACACTGATTCAATTGCCTCGTCCACAAGAAGGGAAAGTTGGCTCCCTGAGCGCGCCAGGAAGTTTTTTCTCCCCAGAGTCGATCCTCCAGATCTACAAATCAACAATTAAGCCCTTGCATGGAGTATTGCTGCCATATATGGTCTGGTGCCCCTTCTGTTTGCCTTGGGGTTCTTGATAGGCTCCAGAGGCGGATATGCAATGTAGTTTGCCCTGCCCTGGTGTCTCGTCTACAGTCACTTTCTCACAGACGCGCCGTCGCCTCCCTCTGTCTGTTCTACAAATATTTTCATGGAAATTGCTCCAAGGAGCTGCATTCACTGGATCCCAGACGTCATGAGTTCCAGCGCCTTACGAGGCTGGCATCCCGCTCTCACCCCTTCACTGTCAAAACTCCTAAATGTAGCCGTCTCTTCTACTCTAATAGCTTCATGTCTTGCACCTCTCGCCTGTGGGACACCCTTCCCTATTCCTGTTTCCCTGTGAGCTATAATCTCCAGCTATTCAAGTGTAATGTCAATCGACATCTCCAATTGCCTTGATCTATCCACTACCCTCATCCTTTCTTCTATCACTCCTATCTGATCTTGCCCTAAACTTTCTGTAACCCCTTGCGTCCTAGTGGCTTCCCGTCTTGCTTGGGGTGAAATGCTTAAAAAAAATAAAAAAATAATAAAGTAAAGTCCGGATAATGTAAATAATGTAAATAGCCAACATTTTCATTGTCATTATTTTCTCTTTGAGTTACATATGCTATCCATTTTAGCTGTTGCTGCTGTTGAAAGTCCTCAAGTGATCTGATTTCTTTTATCTGGTTCTTTGTTTGGTGTTCTGTAGTGCTAGTTAACAAGTTTCAAAGAAATGTGGTCTTCACCACAAGACTAATAGCCTTCACTTGCTCAAAGAAATTTTTAACCATTTATCTTAGAAAGCAGTTGTATACAGCTGACAATTTAAACATTTCTGAACAGATTTGGTGCCATGCATAACGTCCATATTCAAGTTTCAATCTGACAAGACTATTCAAGAACATAGGATAATGTTTTGGCTTTGGGGCTTTTGGAATTTTTGGGAATTCATATTTTTTCATTTCTCTTTCTCTCCCTTTTCAGTCCCTGTTGAATGTCCTACGTGAAAGCCACCGTACTCGCACAGTATTCCGTAAAGTTGGGGGATTTGTCTACGTTATGTCTGTGTTTGTTTCCATGGAGGGGTGCCTGGCCTCTCCACCCAAATCCCCTTGGGATCAAGGTAAGTTTCATTTATCTTGCAAACAGTCTGATAAAACAGTTGTTCTGAATCCCTTAATGAAAATAGCAAACTAATCAGACAGATTATTAATTAGTTTGACATTCACTATGTCCCCCATTTTCATGATCTTCTAAAAGCCCAGCAAAATAAGAAATACTTGAAAAGAAAAAAAAAATTAACCTCTTCATGATCTCCACCCCAAAAATGTTAGACTGGGCATGAATAGGTTTAAGGTAAAAACCTATAATACTTTCTTCTTTTCATTTTTTTTTTTTTTTTTTTTTTAAAATGAAAAAGCATTTTCTTTTCTCTCCCCACTCCTTTTTTAGAAAAAATTCAGAAACTTGTTATTCCCTTAATGCTCACTGACCCCAAAATGAGACAAGTGGGCATTAAAAGGTTTGAGGTGCAATCCTATAATATTATTATTATACATACACATACATATATATATATATATATATATATATATATATATATAATTTTAGAAACCTATAAAAAAACCTTTCACCAGGTTAAGCCCAGCAGAATAAATATTTGAAAAAAAAAAAAAAAACCCTAGTCAGCCTTTTAAAGCTCACTGTCCCCAAAAATTGGACAATGGATGTGAATAGGTTTGAGAAAGAAACCTATGTCAGATTTTTTACTATAAAAATCCTTGTGCCAGGAAAAGTGCTGCAAAATAAGAAATCGGTCAATCAGTTATGTGCCATGCATGATAGATGCTTAGTTGATCATGTATCTTTTGATACATGACTGACGAGGCAGATTTTTTCCTGCAGTAGGTTGCCATTTCTTTCTGCGGTAGACCAGTTGCCATCCAAGGCTTTAGAACCCAGTCTGTCCTGATATTTACCCATAACTTTGTGGGGGTTAGAAGAAGAGGATTTATACCTTTCCCACATGTATTAGCACGTAAGTGAATGTAATGGATTGGACTGGAATTTGAACTCGGCTCTCCGTTTTCTCAATCTGAGCCTCTATGCATTACTGATAGATGATGAACAGACTGAGATAGATAGATCAGTCAGTTATGTGCCATGCATGATACACGCTTAGGCGATCATGTATCTTTCGATACATGACTGACAGGTAGATTTTTTTCCTGCAGTAGGTTGCCATTTCTTTCTGTGGTAGACCAGTTGCCATCCAAGGCTATAGAACCCAGTCTGTCCTGCTATTTACCCATAGCTGGGGGGGTAGAAGAAGAGGATTCATACCTTTCCCAAGGGTATTAGCATGTAAGTGAATGTAATGGATTCAACTGGAATTCAAACTTGGCTCTCCATTACTCCACTGTGCCTCCTCAAATAAGAAATACTTGAACCCCCCCTCCACCCGAAAAAAAAAAAACAGCAAACTTGTTAACTCCTTAATGTCCACCTTCCCAAAAATGGGACACTAGGCATTAATAGGTTTCAGGTAGAATAATACTTATAATTGATACTAGATTTTCATTTTTATAGTTAATAGATTTAATTCATTAATGTCCATTGGAAAAACTTTATTAAGTAGTTGGTTATGTAACCTGTGATATCATAGCTATACCAAACTTCCATTGCATAAGTAGTGATGAATTAGATTCTAAAAGTGTTGTAGGGTGGTTTCACAGTGGAGGCTTGTATTTCATTAAGTCGGTCCTAAAATAGGTTCGACGTACAAAATGTTAGGAACTTGATATAATAGTTAATGACGCAGCAATCTAGTTGTGGTGGCTTATACTTTAATATCTGACTAACGGTCGTCTGACATCAACTGACTGACCAACTCCCTCGGCGACTGACTCATTATTATTACTACTACTACTACTTATTATAGGTGGGAGAGTCTATTAACTATAGAATAGGTGTGTTCCACTATAACAAAAAGCAGCCATATAAATTTAGATGATACCAATGTTGCATGTGTAAACAGTGAATATAATATTAACGATTCAAAATAGTCATTATTTAGTACTTTTCCCCTTTGTTCTTTTTGAAAGCCTGCAAAATAGTCACTTTGGAGGGGAGTTTAAGGTACAAATGGTACCCCCCCCCCAAGAATTTGCAATAGCACACCCTTGAGGAGTGTTGACATTGGTGTAAAACTGTGAAAATATTATATATATATATATATATATATATATATATATATATATAGGAGGTGCTGAAAAGTTTCCAGCCTAACTCATTCCTAAATATCTGACAAAACAAAAATTTGTGAGTAATCTTTTGTTTGTGCTGAAAAATTTTCAGCACCCCTCATCTGTGTGTGTATGTATGTGTATATATATATATATATATAACATACACATACAAATAAGAGAAAGAACAGATGGAGTAAAATTCAATGTTAAGCTGCATTTACTTTTAAAAAAATGTGCTCAATACAAAGTAGAGCAATATATTATTATTATATTTTATTATAAGAAATTATAATAAAAACATTTTGAAATAAGCTACACAAAAGCTTTTAAGTTTCAATACTATGATTGTATTTCTTCAGGAGATGGTAAGTAATAGTATTGAAACATGAAAGCTTTTGTGTAGTGATTTCAAAATGTTTTTATTATAATTTCTTATAATAAAAATATAATAATATATATATATATATATATATATATATATATATATATATATTCAACTCTCTTGTTGAATTCGACATATGAGGGTCAAGCAGATCAGTTCCTAGGAAACCAACAGCCCAACACCAGCACATGTGATTTGATTATAGTGCTGAAGGTTTTGTGCTGAACCATCCACACTTTTTGAAGGGTTAAATTACATGTCACAAGGTCCCCAAACAACACTCTGCAGGTTTTGAAATCAGAGTTGTCCTTCTCCTAAACCAGTTGTCATCGAAGGCTATAGAACCCAATCTGTCCTGCTATTTATCCATAGCTGAAGGGAGAAGAGGATTCATACCTTTCCCAAGGGTATTAACACGTAAGTGAATTTAATGGATTCGACTGGAATTCGAACTCGGCTCTCCGATTCCTCAATCCAAGCCACTATCCATTACTCCACCATGCCTCACACACACACACATATATATATATATATATATATATATATATATATATATATATATATATATATATACATACATATACATATATATATATATATATATATAAATAAAAAAGTGAACATAGAAGTCAACACTTAGAGGTGACAGTCTGTTTCATGCTATATGCAATCATCAGGCCACGTGTGCTGTTATTTTTCTCAGCTATTTATACATATACGGGTCAGTGGTGCATTGTGGGTAGTCTATTATGGCGGTTATTTTACTGGAAGTTGTTTATTTAAAAAAATTGTTTATATCACTTATTTAATAGTTTTGTTTTGGTTTGAGAATTTAATTAAAGCTATTTGTTCCGTTTGGGGGTTGGTTGTTGTAGTTTTATTCTAACCATTATTTTGGCAGAAAGTTTTTAATTTGTGTTTATTTGGGTTGATTATCTTTATTTGTTTTTTCTAATGGTAACTTTATCGGGATTGGTTAGTTTATTTATTTACTTAGATGAATTTAGGTCAATTTATTTTACTTCTATATTTTCTCGTTTCGGTTTTCGATTTTTAAGTAATGTAGTATTTATTTGTTTTTTATTTTTATTTTATTTTATTTATTTATTCATTTATTTATTTTTTATCGTTATATAACAGTTATAGCTATTTTTTTCGTCCGATTTTTTGGTTTGATTTTTTAGTCTAACTAATATTTTGGTCGTAATGGTTTGCTACTTTGTTTATTATTTACTTTATTTATTTGGGTTCATTGGTTTTTGTTTTGTTTTTTTTTGTTATTATTATTATTATTCTATTTTGTCTATTCTAACAGGTGTGATTTGGTAATTTGTTTGGATTAAATTATTTTGCTTATTTGACTTCTATGTTCACTTTTATATTTACACACGCTTTATCTATATCGAGCACTTTATCCCATAAATATAGCACACCTTAAGACTATATTTTTTCATATATATATATATATATATATATATATATATATATATATATATGAGAGAGAGAGACAAAAGGAAAACTTATCTTAGTTGACACGTTTCATCTTGTGATGGACTTTATTGTGCCAAATGTAAGGATTTTATTTATTTTTGAACAAGTATTTATAAAGAAGAGTAAAATGTTGTTAGTTTTACAGAATTTTTAAATTTAAGAATGCTTATAATATTAATTAGGCTAACTGAAAAATCTCGGTAAATTATGGAAGATGTTAAATGATGTAATTTCATGTCTAGTAGATAAATGTTGTTGAATTTTTTTTTTTTATGAAATTGATATTTAGATTCATGTTTGTATCAGATAAATTTATGTATTATATATTTTAAATATCGACACAGAAATTAATGCAAATGCTTCATCTAAGAAATGTAGACAACTTCAGGCTATTATATCTACTACTACTAGGTTTAAAGCAATAAAAAATTTAAAAAATCAGTTATTATTAATGATGTTTCATTTTAAAAATTTAGGTAGCTTCAGACTATTATGTCTAATACTACTACTACTTGGTTTAAAACAGAAAAAATGAAAAAAAAATCAGTCAGATATTAATAATAATGCTTCATTTTTCATTTTTTTTTTTCCAGTTGGCAGACATGAAATTCTCACCATGTTGAAAACAGTATTCAGCACTCTGACTGTGGCAATGAGATATGAGCCAGCCAATGCCAAGTTCTTTTCTACTGAGGTGAGTAAATTGTTCTGTTGGCAGGTTGCATTTGTATTATACTTTTAACAACTTTCCAGTTTAATTTAGGTAGATGTTCTGCAGCATGAATTATCTCAAAAGTAAGTAGGTTACTTAATGTTTTCCTATGTCCCTGTTGCCTTCAATATGTCTTGTGAGTATCATATTCTCCAAACCTTCTTTCCTAAGTAACGTTTGTCTCTTTATTATCCCTTCTCACACTTGCTCTGCTACCTATTTACATTGACTTGATAGGTAGGTTAGTCAATGTTTCCCTATGCTTTCTACTTTGTTTTTTCTTTTTTTTTCCCCTCTTTTTCTCTACTGGCCTCTCTTTCTCTCGATTTTTACTGGCCACTTTCGTTCTTTGGTGTCTTCTCTCGATCTGTACTGGCCTCTTTCATTCAGCACTGGCCTCTTTCATTCTCTACTGGCTTCCCTTGATCTTTACTGGACTCTTTTGTTCAGTACTGGCCTCTCTCGGTTCTAGACTGGCCACCCTCATTCTTACTGCCCCCTCTCACTCTCTACTGCCCTCTTCCCATTCTCTACTGGCCTCTCTTTTTATGTACTGATCTTTCTCTGTTACTACTGGCTTCTCTCATTCTCTACTGCCCCCTCTCGGTCTTCACTGGCCCCCTCTTGTTCTCTACTGCCCCCCTCTCGTTCTCTTGTTCTGTACTGGCCTCTCTCTGTCTCTACTGCCCCCTCTCGTTCTTTACTGGCCTCTTTTGGTCTCTGCTGGCTGCTTTTGGCCCCTCTCATTCTCTACTGCCCCCTCTCGTTCTCTTGTTCTGTACTGGCCCCTCTCTGTCTCTACTGCCCACTCTCGCTCTCTACTGCCCCCTCCCATTCTCTACTGCCCCCTCTCGTTCTTTACTGGCCTCTTTTGGTCTCTGCTGGCTGCTTTTGGTCCCTCTCATTCTCTACTGACCTCTTTTGTTCTCTTGTTCTATACTGGCCCCTCTCTGTATCTACTGGCCTCTCTCTTTCTCATTTAATTTTCTCTTTCTCTTTCTTACTAGCCCTTCCCACCTTCACTTTGCCTTTTTACTTTTTTTTTCCCATTGAAACCACAATGCATCTCTATTATGTTTTTTCTGTCTTTTATCACAATCAAAACAGAATGCTTCATTATTTACAAAGGCATAACATATGTGCTAACTACATAAGTAACAAAAGAACAAAAAGAATTATAATCTGATGTACATAATGCCTTGAAAACGCCCACCAGTTTAGACAATCTAAAGTCTTTCCAGACATACATATTAACTGTAAAATATGATACCCAGTTTATTATTTTTTTATTATGCGGAACCATTGTTTGTCTTTGCTTTATTATTCTTTTTTTTCTATTCCTTTTTTTCTCTTCCAGGTTCGCTATGATAGCTTAACTGAGGCAGTACGTCTTCTTGGTTGCTTCTCTAATACCATCGACATTCTTCCTGATGTTGAAGAACTGGTCAGTGTTGAAACCCAGACCATGCCAGAGGCATTCAGTATCTTTGAGGAATTCTTCAATGATGTAAAAGACAGCAAGTGAGTTGCTTTTTGCTGCTTGTTTACCATTGTTGTCTTTGGCTTTCTTTTCATCAAACTGATATTCCACTAGATTCACAGCTCCGATCAAGGAACAAACTCGGTTGTAATAGTTTGTTAGACAACAGGCTGGCTGTTCCTATTCTAATATCAGATCTGCCCATAGCAATCTGACAAAATTTGCAGTGGGGGAATGGTTATCATACAGAAAATGGAATTGGCATGCTGAGTTCAAATCCCAGCTGGATGGATACTTTCAGACTCTAGTATAAACTGAACTTATGTGAACACTTTGAGTTGGCTATAAACCAGACCTGTTCCCCTCCTTCAACACTGGTATGAGCCAGAAACTTGACCACTCTTTGTGTTATGTAGTGGTTTCACAGTGGAGGCTTGTATTTGTACTAAGTCAATCCTAAAATAGGTTCGATGTACAAAACGTTAGGAACTTGATATAATAGGTAATGACGCAGTAATCTAGTTGTGGTGGCTGATACTTTAATACCCGACTAACGGTCGTCCGACATTGACTGACTGACCAACTCACTGCTGACTGACTTGTTACTTTTACTACTCCTACTTATTATAGGTGGGAGAGTCTATTAACTATAGAATAGGTGTGTTCTACTATAACACTTTGACTCTGTCATAAAGCCGACCAAATAGCTACCGTTTGACTGGCATGAGCCAGATACTTTTTCACAAGCCAGACTTTGGCCACTCTTTGACTCTACCCACTTTTTCTTTGGTATGAGTTGATCATGTGTCTACACTTTGGCTTTCCTCCTCCCCGTGAATTTAGAATAGATCATTGCTGCTGAAGGTAGTGAGTAAAACAAACAAGATGACATGATGAATTGGAGGAGAGGAGAAGAAATAATGACAATTGACTGATCAGTCAATTGTCATTATTATACTAGGAGTAAAGCAACAAATTATACTAGGAGTAAAGCAACAAAAATAAGATGAAAGAAAACTAGCTAAAATTAATGATACTGACAATGTCTCATTTAAGAAATTTAAACACCTTTAAAAATATTACACCTCCTACAATAAGTTGTAAACAAACAATAAAAGATGAAAGAAAAACTCATGAATGCTTCATGATAATAATAATAATAACATTTTATCTGAAAATTCAGACATTTTAAGGCTATTATATCTACTACTGCTTCAGGATGTAATGCAATCAAAATTAGATGAATGGAAGACTAGCCAGAAATTGATACAGAGTAAGTTTATGGGGATATGTAGGGAAGATAATGGTTGATCATTGACTTGAACCAGACAAAATTGTAGATCAGAGATGAACCTTTTTTTGTGAGTCAGTTTTACAAAGCAAAAACTTGCACTAGTGTAGTTCAATAAAAATGCATTTGTATAATACAATAAAATGCACATATGTACTGCAATAAAATGCACCTGTAAAATTCAATAGAAATATCTAATAATGTAACAATAATTTCAGAATCAAAAATTGTAGAATCAAAAGTATGATCCTCACCCTTGCAAAGGATGTTCCCAACTAGCATCCAGATGGCAGACAAAAAGAAAGTAGGTTGTAACATTAATGACAGTGTCCATACCAAAGTCAACAGCCAATTCATAACCTAGAGAATAGACTTGCCCAAATTGCAGTTGGTGAGTGGTTTATATAACAGGCTGGGGTGTTCCAACACCCCAGCCTGTTATATAAACCACTCACCAACTGGCTGAGAGGCAAGTAGTCAGAACAGACTCAACTTCCAAACTGTCTGTTTGTCCAACTAAATCCTACAAAAATTTCTGAATTTAATTGTACAGTTCCCAAACTCTCCACTTTTGCTTTTTTGATATTTTCCACTTAGTTTTTTTTCTCATGTCATGATCTGGGCCATGAACTTTCCAATTTCTGTATTAGAATTCCAAGATGAGAAAGAAAATATAAAGTCTATTTCAATCTTTATCATGAATTTTATTTTCTCTTTACTTTCTAGATCCAAAGAAGAACTCCCTTTGACACTTCAGTCGGCATGTTTGATGATTCGTTTCCTTTATGACATGACCTTGGATTCTTTTGATAAGTAAGTAAATTCTTATTTTTATACTATTATTCACCCAATACAATGCCCAAGAGCCAGTCAAGGTAGAGGATTGCTGAATGAAGTTTTTATTGACATAAGAGGAGGAAGTAAAACATGAGGATATGTAAGATAAAGATATGTGAACAGTGTAATGGATGGTGACTTGGGATGAGAAAATTGAGAGCCAAATTCAAATTTCAGTTGAGTTTGTTATGTTCACTTACACACAAATTGTGCCCGACGAGTTGGGTAACCAATGAAACTTAAGTTGCGCACCAAATGTAGATATATGTATATTTATTAATATATATTTCCTAGCTCTGTCTAACCACATCAAGCACTATTATGTTTATACCTCTTGGCAAAATTTGTGAATTATTTATTTGCTGACCTGTGTATACAAACCAGCACACACATATACAGTTACTAATATTTAATTATTTCATTTTCTTAAACTATATATATATATATATATATATATATATATATATATATATATATATATATAAGGGTTATGGCTTTTGATATTAGGTAAAATAATTGATTTCTTGTATCATAATTCGATTAAAAAATAATGAAGGTTTTAGTTCAGTATATTTTTAAATAATATCACCCACAACACGAAATTTTTAAATTGTATCTATGTATAATAGTATTATAACATCCTGGAGCCTTCTAGAACTTGCTTTTGTTTATTTGTAAGGTTGTATGTTATGCTATAAACTGTTAAATGTGTTCAAAAATATATAAGTACTACCCAATTATATTGTTAGCAAATTGAAAAATAAAGCTTATGAAATATTTTTAATTTCTTACCCTATTGCGTATATAGTAAAATGAATTTTCAGTTTGGAGATTACTTTTTTCAAGAACTAAAACAATACCTTTTTCATAGCACCTGTTAGGGTCCCAGCTATGGGTAAATAGTGAACTTACACCTAAACAAAAACAAAACACTATGAAATCATAAAAATACATTTTTATAGTAAAAATACCAGCAAAAAAAAAAAAAAGACCAGCAATACATTTTATATGTAATTGAAGACAATTGCGTTCAAATTATTTAGATTTTGGCATTAAATAACCCATAGAGGTTGATAATGCCGTTAAACAAAATCAACCAACCAACCCATTGTGGCACATTAACTTTTACCACACTGCAGGCGAAAATTGTTGCCATAGAATTGTCTCCCCTTGTTGCTCTAGGCACATTCTGTCACCTTGAGGCGGTTGCTATAAATAAATACTTGTTAACTGTTATTTCCGGTATTTTAACCTGGAAATCGCCTACTACTGCTTTGGAACAAGGTTAAACTTCCATTTTCCAATATCATTTTGAATTCTTCTAGACTCTACATGAGGTGTAGCACCGATTAAACCCATGTTGATTTTTTTGCGATTTTTTTTGTAAATAAAAATGGCTGCATCAATATCCAACAAAGCCTTTATTCAGGAGTTTTTCTTTGATTAGATCTCTGATGATGATTTTGAAGGCTTTACTTGAGTGGATGGTGAAGTGGTCAATGGTGGTGACCACTAGCAGCTATTATCATCCATGTTTGACTAATTTTATGGAAGCTACTGGCGACCATTGATATACCTGATAGCCTTTCTGAAGGTGAATTATTTTGTCTATTAATAAAGAACAAAATAATAACTTTATTCATCAATGAGACAAATATGAGTTAGGTGAAAGAAAGAGCAAACAAATGCTGGTGTCTCCTTATATGTAAACACGAGGAAACATGTCACTTTTTTAATGAACTGAAAGCCTTCTTAGTGATTTTGCTTCTTATTGCACTCCATAAGGGGTAATAAAAGTTAAAGTTTGTTGAATTATTTATGTATTTTTTAATGTATTTATTTTTTATTTCATGTTTCAATTTCTTTTGTTTTCAATATCAAAACATGTATGCGAAACATGCATTATATCAAAATATTACTCATTCTTTTATTAGTGTACAAAAAATTAAATCTATACACACAATATAAATAAAGTTATAACAATTTTAAAACAGTATGTGTTCATGTTTTTGCACCCTCAAAAAAAAAAGCAGTGGCAGGAGGGAACAATTTTAGAAAGAAATTAGCATGGTAAAGGTTAAATTCTAAAGCAATGTAAGTATATTTCTACCTAACAATGGTGTCTTCTTCTTCTTCTTCACAGGGAACCTGGTAGTGGTAGCTGCTCCACCTTGAAGCGCAACATCTCCTTCCGGGTTGAAGGCCCACATTCTAATGTTTCCCTGCCGAAGAGAGCCAGTACGGGCAGCATTAACTTGTACCTGGCTAGCTGCCAAGATCAGATAATTGTACACCCAGGAGCTGTGATGTCTATCTTTCATTTGCTTCCAGCTATTGAGTACAGCCCACAGCCAAAGGTAAAGATGAAAAAGTTCTATTGTTATCAAGTTGATTTTTTGGGGTTTTTTTTCTACAATAATTAACTTTAAAGGGAATATTATAATTATTATTTTGTAGCAGTGTTTTAATATAGGAATGCATTGAAAATGAGGAAGAAAGGGATTGTCTGTGGTCAGGAATGAATGCAAGCATTACTGATAGAATAGGGCTATTATATATATAATTATTATTTTGTAGCAGTGTTTTAATATAGGAATGCATTGCAAATGAGGAAGAAAAGGGATTGTCAGTGGTCAGGAATGAATGCAAGCATTACTGATAGAATAGGGCTATTATATATATAATTATTATTTTGTAGCAGTGTTTTAATATAGGAATGCATTGCAAATGAGGAAGAAAGGGATTGTCAGAATTAATGGTCTGATAGAAGGAATGAATGCAAGCATTACTGATAGAATATGGGCTGATTATATATATAATTATTATTTTGTAGCAGTGTTTTAATATAGGAATGCATTGCAAATGAGGAAGAAAGGGATTGTCTGTGGTCAGGAATTAATGCAAGAATTACTGATAGAATAGGGCTATTATATATATAATTATTATTTTGTAGCAGTGTTTTAATATAGGAATGCATTGCAAATGAGGAAGAAAGGGATTGTCTGTGGTCAGGAATGAATGCAAGCATTACTGATAGAATAGGGCTATTATTATATATATAATTATTATTTTGTAGCAGTGTTTTAATATAGGAATGCATTGCAAATGAGGAAGAAAGGGATTGTCTGTGGTCAGGAATGAATGCAAGCATTACTGATAGAATAGGGCTATTATATATATAATTATTATTTTGTAGCAGTGTTTTAATATAGGAATGCATTGCAAATGAGGAAGAAAGGATTGTCTGTGGTCAGGAATGAATGCAAGCATTACTGATAGAATAGGGCTATTACATGTATAATTATTATTTTTTAGCAGTGTTTTAATATAGGAATGCATTGCAAATGAGGAAGAAAGGGATTGTCTGTGGTCAGGAATGAATGCAAGCATTACTGATAGAATAGGGGCTATATATATATAATTATTATTTTGTAGCAGTGTTTTAATATAGGAATGCATTGCAAATGAGGAAGAAAGGGATTGTCTGTGGTCAGGAATGAATGCAAGCATTACTGATAGAATAGGGCTATTATATATATAATTATTATTTTGTAGCAGTGTTTTAATATAGGAATGCATTGCAAATGAGGAAGAAAGGGATTGTCTGTGGTCAGGAATGAATGCAAGCATTACTGATAGAATAGGGCTATTACATGTATAATTATTATTTTGTAGCAGTGTTTTAATATAGGAATGCATTGCAAATGAGGAAGAAAGGGATTGTCTGTGGTCAGGAATGAATGCAAGCATTACTGATAGAATAGGGCTATTACATATATAATTATTATTTTGTAGCAGTGTTTTAATATAGGAATGCATTGAAAATGAGGAAGAAAGGGATTGTCAGTGGTCAGGAATGAATGCAAGCATTACTGATAGAATAGGGCTATTATATATATAATTATTATTTTGTAGCAGTGTTTTAATATAGGAATGCATTGCAAATGAGGAAGAAAGGATTGTCTGTGGTCAGGAATGAATGCAAGCATTACTGATAGAATAGGGCTATTACATGTATAATTATTATTTTGTAGCAGTGTTTTAATATAGGAATGCATTGCAAATGAGGAAGAAAGGGATTGTCTGTGGTCAGGAATGAATGCAAGCATTACTGATAGAATAGGGCTATTATATATATAATTATTATTTTGTAGCAGTGTTTTAATATAGGAATGCATTGCAAATGAGGAAGAAAGGGATTGTCTGTGGTCAGGAATGAATGCAAGCATTACTGATAGAATAGGGCTATTATATATATAATTATTATTTTGTAGCAGTGTTTTAATATAGGAATGCATTGCAAATGAGGAAGAAAGGGATTGTCTGTGGTCAGGAATGAATGCAAGCATTACTGATAGAATAGGGCTATTACATGTATAATTATTATTTTTGTAGCAGTGTTTTAATATAGGAATGCATTGCAAATGAGGAAGAAAGGGATTGTCTGTGGTCAGGAATGAATGCAAGCATTACTGATAGAATAGGGCTATTATATATATAATTATTATTTTGTAGCAGTGTTTTAATATAGGAATGCATTGCAAATGAGGAAGAAAGGGATTGTCTGTGGTCAGGAATGAATGCAAGCATTACTGATAGAATAGGGCTATTATGTATATAATTATTATTTTGTAGCAGTGTTTTAATATAGGAATGCATTGAAAATGAGGAAGAAAGGGATTGTCAGTGGTCAGGAATGAATGCAAGCATTACTGATAGAATAGGGCTATTATATATATAATTATTATTTTGTAGCAGTGTTTTAATATAGGAATGCATTGCAAATGAGGAAGAAAGGGATTGTCTGTGGTCAGGAATGAATGCAAGCATTACTGATAGAATAGGGCTATTACATGTATAATTATTATTTTGTAGCAGTGTTTTAATATAGGAATGCATTGCAAATGAGGGAAAAGGGATTGTCTGTGGTCAGGAATGAATGCAAGCATTACTGATAGAATAGGGCTATATATATATAATTATTATTTTGTAGCAGTGTTTTAATATAGGAATGCATTGCAAATGAGGAAGAAAGGGATTGTCTGTGGTCAGGAATGAATGCAAGCATTACTGATAGAATAGGGCTATTATATATATAATTATTATTTTGTAGCAGTGTTTTAATATAGGAATGCATTGCAAATGAGGAAGAAAGGATTGTCTGTGGTCAGGAATGAATGCAAGCATTACTGATAGAATAGGGCTATTACATGTATAATTATTATTTTGTAGCAGTGTTTTAATATAGGAATGCATTGCAAATGAGGAAGAAAGGATTGTCTGTGGTCAGGAATGAATGCAAGCATTACTGATAGAATAGGGCTATTATATATATAATTATTATTTTGTAGCAGTGTTTTAATATAGGAATGCATTGCAAATGAGGAAGAAAGGGATTGTCTGTGGTCAGGAATGAATGCAAGCATTACTGATAGAATAGGGCTATTATATATATATAATTATTATTTTGTAGCAGTGTTTTAATATAGGAATGCATTGCAAATGAGGAAGAAAGGGATTGTCTGTGGTCAGGAATGAATGCAAGCATTACTGATAGAATAGGGCTATTATATATATAATTATTATTTTGTAGCAGTGTTTTAATATAGGAATGCATTGCAAATGAGGAAGAAAGGGATTGTCTGTGGTCAGGAATGAATGCAAGCATTACTGATAGAATAGGGCTATTACATGTATAATTATTATTTTGTAGCAGTGTTTTAATATAGGAATGCATTGCAAATGAGGAAGAAAGGGATTGTCAGTGGTCAGGAATGAATGCAAGCATTACTGATAGAATAGGGCTATTATATATATAATTATTATTTTGTAGCAGTGTTTTAATATAGGAATGCATTGCAAATGAGGAAGAAAGGGATTGTCTGTGGTCAGGAATGAATGCAAGCATTACTGATAGAATAGGGCTATTACATGTATAATTATTATTTTGTAGCAGTGTTTTAATATAGGAATGCATTGCAAATGAGGAAGAAAGGGATTGTCAGTGGTCAGGAATGAATGCAAGCATTACTGATAGAATAGGGCTATTATGTATATAATTATTATTTTGTAGCAGTGTTTTAATATAGGAATGCATTGAAAATGAGGAAGAAAGGGATTGTCAGTGGTCAGGAATGAATGCAAGCATTACTGATAGAATAGGGCTATTATATATATAATTATTATTTTGTAGCAGTGTTTTAATATAGGAATGCATTGCAAATGAGGAAGAAAGGGATTGTCTGTGGTCAGGAATGAATGCAAGCATTACTGATAGGGCTATTATATATATAATTATTATTTTGTAGCAGTGTTTTAATATAGGAATGCATGGCAAATGAGGAAGAAAGGGATTGTCTGTGGTCAGGAATGAATGCAAGCATTACTGATAGAATAGGGCTATTATATATATAATTATTATTTTGTAGCAGTGTTTTAATATAGGAATGCATTGCAAATGAGGAAGAAAAGGGATTGTCTGTGGTCAGGAATGAATACAAGCATTACTGATAGAATAGGGCTATTATATATATAATTATTATTTTGTAGCAGTGTTTTAATATAGGAATGCATGGCAAATGAGGAAGAAAGGGATTGTCTGTGGTCAGGAATGAATGCAAGCATTACTGATAGAATAGGCTATATATATATAATTATTATTTTGTAGCAGTGTTTTAATATAGGAATGCATTGCAAATGAGGAAGAAAGGGATTGTCAGTGGTCAGGAATGAATGCAAGCATTACTGATAGAATAGGCTATTATATATATAATTATTATTTTGTAGCAGTGTTTTAATATAGGAATGCATTGCAAATGAGGAAGAAAGGGATTGTCTGTGGTCAGGAATGAATGCAAGCATTACTGATAGAATAGGGCTATTATATATATAATTATTATTTTGTAGCAGTGTTTTAATATAGGAATGCATTGCAAATGAGGAAGAAAGGATTGTCAGTGGTCAGGAATGAATGCAAGCATTACTGATAGAATAGGGCTATTATATATATAATTATTATTTTGTAGCAGTGTTTTAAATATAGGAATGCATTGCAAATGAGGAAGAAAGGGATTGTCTGTGGTCAGGAATGAATGCAAGCATTACTGATAGAATAGGCTATTATATATATAATTATTATTTTGTAGCAGTGTTTTAATATAGGAATGCATTGCAAATGAGGAAGAAAGGATTGTCAGTGGTCAGGAATGAATGCAAGCATTACTGATAGAATAGGGCTATTATATATATAATTATTATTTTGTAGCAGTGTTTTAATATAGGAATGCATTGCAAATGAGGAAGAAAGGGATTGTCAGTGGTCAGGAATGAATGCAAGCATTACTGATAGAATAGGGCTATTACATGTATAATTATTATTTTGTAGCAGTGTTTTAATATAGGAATGCATTGCAAATGAGGAAGAAAGGGATTGTCTGTGGTCAGGAATGAATGCAAGCATTACTGATAGAATAGGGCTATTACATGTATAATTATTATTTTGTAGCAGTGTTTTACTATAGGAATGCATTGCAAATAAGGAAGAAAGGGATTGTCAGTGGTCAGGAATAAATGCAAGCATTACTGATAGACTAGGGCTATTATATGTATAATTATGATTTTGTAGCAGTGTTTTACTATAGGAATGCATTGCAAATAAGGAAGAAAGGGATTGTCAGTGGTCAGGAATTAATGTATGTCTGTCATTGCATATGTCTTTTCAGCTTGCCCTCGACCTTCAGGTGTACACAGCAGAAATTCTCAAGTCCATCATGCGGACTGAACGTAATCAACAAATCATGTGTGACGTTGGCTTCCCTCATGAATTACTCAGTCATGGCAACATTGCCCTGGCAGATGAGTCCCACTCATTACACCCACCCCTGCAGTATATGTTTGAAAGACTTGCTGCACAAGCTCTCACCCCAAAGGATCTCAAGTAAGTGCATTTCACATTTCAACAAAGCATTTTTTTTTGTTATAATCTTAGGCTTCACTTTGCTTAATAAACGTGCAGGGAATGTTTTAATATCTGTCTATATCTCTGAGATGAGGTATTATGATTATTTACATTATTCGGACTGTTATCCTCATCTTCATTGCTAGATTCACAATGTTTTGGCCATTGTACGCTCCAGCCTTCTATAGGTGATTGAAATTTCAAACCGAACACTTTCTTTTGTCCACAGGGGTAGATTGTTCTAGTTCCACATGCCATGCTCCTTCTGGATGTCTCAGTTATTTCCTTTTAACTCAACTCTCCAAATTTTGGTTCACCACTGCTGTGGCCTTGGTATTGAACTCACAATTCTTTGGGTCTAGTCACTGGATCTAATGAACATCTTTATCCACTGGCCCATGTGTCCTTAAGGAACATTGTGAATATGCCATTGAAGATGAGGATAACAGTTCGAATAATGTAAATAATCTAATTAAACTTGTAATAGTCTGAAATTATCTATTTTTCATAGACTGCCGCTTATTATTAATTGCTGACTAATATTTTCTAGCTTAAGATAACCTGCAAAGGATTAAAACGAGGCAATCAATTATAGCAAAGAAAATGGTGACTTATCTCATCAAACCAAGTGACAGCGCATCGTGTGTATTCTACGACAGACAATGTGGCAAAAAAAAAATTACTTATCAAACAAAAGGGCACGTATTCCACATGACATGCTGAAGATGGAATATTTGAATTAAAAAAAACAAGTCCGTCACAGGAGTCGCTATAAAAGTATGTTGATATGCAAATTACTGAACATCCTCTCCCAGCTGTCAACGAATGGAAAAAATGTTCTGCCAATAAAAGCAGTTGGTGTTCTCGAATCAGGGAGAAAAAGTCAGCTATTTTGCTGCCACGTTGGTTGGCGAGTGAGTTATTTTTCTGACTGGTTGCGTGCATTGTGATTTGTGAAATAGTACTTGCGAATCGAGTTTTTGGCATTTTCTTTCAGTCCCCGATGTTCGAGTCTGAACTTAGTGATTTATTCTCGGTGACACGGAAATAATCTACGACAAACATTTTCTTTGCAATCCCAGATCGCTTACAAAAAAATAAATTGCATTTTTGTCATATATGATTATATTATTTCTTTCTGTAATATGATTTTCTGGTATAACATATATGAGAATTGCATCATATTTCTTTCTATAATATTCCTATAATATTTATGATTTTTCTTCTATAATACAGGGTGCGATGGATAAATTGTCGTCTAAATGAGGCAAGAATGAAAATAACATTGGCATCTCATTTTAACAGACATACAGGGGGCGAGGGATAAATTGTCGTCTAAATAACACCAAAATGAAAATAATAGACATTTTAATAGATATATTTACCAAAATTACACAGAAATATCTGGAAATACTAAAGAGTAAATGTATTCAATAAAATTGCAATTGGCTTCAACCATGGCCTCCAGACAACTTTGGAATCTTCTGCAATTTTTCTGGACAGTCTTCTTGTTTAAGTTGGTGAATGCTGCCATAATCCTTGCCTTCAAGTTCAGTTCATCTTTAGTGTAATGATATCTTCATCTTGCTAATGTCTTACCATGATGTGGGAGGTATTTCTGCCACACTCTATGTGATATGAAAATTGCATCTTATATATTTCTCTGTACATTAATATTTTATTTCTTTCCATGCTATTTTTCAGAGATTTTGTACGTCTTGGCTCCCCACTCAACTGCTGGTCAGTTGATGATTTGTATGACGGCTATCGAAATGGTTTTGTTTGTAGCCACATGCACAATGGTTGTGAACAGAGTCGTGGCCACAATCTGGAGGAGAAACGCACACCCTTCGAGATCGAGGACCAATTGAAAACTGCTGGGGGGCCAGTACCCCTTACTCGAGTCAAATGCCTGGTTTCCATGACAACCCCCAGAGATGCACGCATGCACGGGTCCTCGGTCACCCCAGCATTTGTCGAGTTTGACATGAGCACTGAAGGCTTTGGCTGCCTTTACTTACCCAGTATTGCTCCCCAGGGTCCACCAACCCCTTCAGTTGTTGGAGGAGTGGTTGGATCTTCGGATCCTGTTGTTATTGGAGGCATCGGCACAGGTGAGTTTACTCATTAAGCTGTGTGCAGTCATGGCTGTCCACAGCTTCCTGTCTTTTGCTGTTCTAAGTAATTTTAGTTTTTGTTCTGCCATCCATTGACAAAATTCTTCAAGTAGATTATTTGCTATTTCCTCCTGTTTCTCTTACCTCCAATAGTTCTTGTGAATGTTAGATTCTCCAAGCCCTCTTTCCTCATTGTGCCTCAGAAATTTCTGATTGTAAGTATAAATTTCCTTGTTGTTCCTATCTTGGTCAATTGTACTCTTAATATTTGTTGGTAAAACCAAATTTGTCATTTCCAGTTCCCTCTTCATGTGCAGAAACTGTCCAAAATTCACTGCCATATAGGAGGATTGATATCATCTAGAAGATGTAACCATAAGTTCTATGCTAACAGTTTCTTCTATCGCACTTCTTGCTTGTGGAACTCCCTTCCAGTTTCTTGCTTCCCAGTCAACTTTGATCTTCAAAAATGTAAATGCAATGTTGATCGTTATCTTCTGGCTTAATTTCTGTTCTTTTATTCATCTCTCTCTTTAATAATATTTTTTCTCATATTCTCTAATACTCACTAACTCCTTCTGTCTTAGTGACTTTATTGCCTTGTTTGGGGTGAAAAGATTAAATAAAACAAAAAAAAAATATTCTTGTCATTGTTTCTGTTTCCAGTCACTTCATCTGTGAGGAAATTGTCCAGCATCCACTGCCATATAGGTGGATTGATATTACATAGCAGTTCAGCACTCTTTTCTTTGTTTCTCTTGCTTCAAGTCTCCTCTTCATCTGTGAGGAAATTGTCCATCATTCACTGCCATATAGCAGGATTGATATTACATAGCAGTTCAGCACTCTTTTCTTTGTCTCTCTTGCTTCAGATCCCCTCTTCATCTGTGAGGAAATTGTCAAGTATTCACTGCCATATCGGCGGATTGATATTACATAGCTGTTCAGCACTCTTTTCTTTGTTTCTCTTGCTTCGTCTCCTCTTCATCTGTGAGGAAATTGTCCAGCATTCACTGCCTTAAAATAGTACCGGTATTACATAACAGTTCAGCACTTTTCTTTGTTTCTAACAAAATTTTCTTGTTTCTTAATACTTTGCTTAGCTTTTGAAAGGTAACTTTTGCTATTCCAATGTGCCTTCAGACATCAGTGTCATGTTTTCCCTCTTTTATTAAACAGTAATGTAATATTAGCCATTTCCTTATAATTTTTTTTTCTCAAGTCCAGTGGCTGTTAATGCTCTTTCCGATATTGAGGGGGTTTCCTTCCTAACCTTTTGTTTGGGGTATTGTTGAATAACATCTTGATGATGGCATTAATCTCTATTTACAAACCTGCTTGATTTTTTGCATCTCCAATTTATATCCTACATCTTGGGTTGTTTGTCTGGCTGACAACCATACATTCTGTTTTGTTACAATTGATGGTTAGTCCTTTCTTCTTCCTTTCCTTTAGAAAATTACTCTGCACATATGTAATTTTTTAATTCTGTTTCTCATACATTTTTTTCTTTTGTTCTATTTCAGGTGAGAGAATGTTTCCTCCTCAATCAGGACTAACGTACTCTACGTGGTTCTGTGTTGACAAATTCAGCTGCGCATCAACTGACCCTCACTCGGTGCGCTTGCTGACCATTGTCCGCAACCTACAGGGCCGCGATGAGAATCTCATCTGCCTGAGTGTTACTCTGACAGCCAAGGATCGCTCCCTCATTGTGTCCACTCAGGAAACTAGTATGCCAACTACAGGTAAGGGTCCCACCTAATGCCTCAGAGACATCTTGAGGTTTGGTTTGTTTTACAGAATATCAACTACAGTGGGTTATTTAATGCCAACAATTTTTATTGCTGGTAATTTTTTTTTTTTAAATGTGTTGTTAGTAATATTCTTTTCCTTCAAAAACTTTATTTCTGGTAATTTTTTTTTTTTTTTTCAAAGATTTATAGCTGGTAATTTTTTTTTTTTTCAAAGATTTATAGCTGGTAATTTTTTTTTTTTTTCAAAGATTTATAGCTGGTAATTTTTTTTTTTTTCAAAGATTTATAGCTGGTAATTTTTTTTTTTTTTCAAAGATTTATAGCTGGTAATTTTTTTTTTTTTTTCAAAGATTTATAGCTGGTAATTTTTTTTTTTTTTCAAAGATTTATAGCTGGTAATTTTTTTTTTTTTTTTTTTTTTTTTTTTTTTTTTTTCAAAGATTTATAGCTGGTAATTTTTTTTTTTCTTCAAAAGTGTATTGCTAGTAATAATTTTTTTCTTCAAATTACGAATATAGCAACAAAGTTCTAGAATGTTTATAACAGCAAGGTTTTAAAATATCTAAATTGTATTTGTTAAAAACTACAATTTAAAAATATTTTAAAACGCATAATTACAATTTTTAATAAGAATTTACATAAATTAAGTTACCTCTATTTACATAGTGGTAATGTTTTTTAATTTTACAGTCTTCATGCTGACACATATTCATAACTTACATTAATTCTTAGTCTTAGCAATTCACTCCTGAAGATGATTTTGGACAAGATTGAAAGTACATGGGAAAATAACAGCCATATGGATAATTACAGCTTTTTTTCTTGATCAATTCTGTACTAACCCTAAGAAATTAATCTGTGAATTTGAGAGGATTAAAATAAAAATAGACAGACATAATATGTCTAGATTATTCAATCAAACACATTTGAATATATATATATATATATATATATATATATATATATATATATATTTATTTATTTTAAAACATTTTTTATGTTTATACATTCTTTTTATAGATGCAAATATTTAAGTAAATGCTCTGCTTATAATAAACAGTAATAATGACATTTACCGGCCTGAATGTCCAAGAAATTTTCATAGAAAATATGCATCCTTCAACAGGAATTGAACCTGTATCCTATATGGAATTGTCATATAGCCTGATGTGCTTTACCGATTGACCCACAGAGGAGCTTTTCTGTTAGCAAGGTTGATTTTATTGTTTTTAAACTACAATTCACCATGATTTTCTCTCGTAAATTCATATCTGCTCGATGATGTCCAATAATATGAAATGGACAAAGTCTGACAATTATTTTAAGACATTTTTTTATATGGGAGAAAAATGATATATAAATTTTTATATATCAGAACAATGTTAGGAAAATTAATGACAAAATGGAAAAAAAATTTTTTGTGATGCGTTTCATCCTAATTAAAAGAGAAGGCAATTTACTAAGACAATCGCTAGATCATCCACTGTAAATTTACATCCAGGTTCTACAACATTTCATCTTTCTTGTCAGATCTTCTATTATCACAATATAAGAGAATTAAGAACAACAGTGTTAAAAATCTACACAAAATGGTAAAAAAAAACAAAAACTAAATAATATTGGCTAGACTATATATCCAAACACATATTTAACAAAAAAAATTTTAACGTACAAGTTTAAAATATCAGCACCCTCTCTCCTTCATGTGCCTGTGTAGTTACATCAATATAAAGATCTCACCGGAGATAGTCAGTGGTACCTCTAATATTAATTGTTGTTTCTTTGTATTTGTAATTTCCACTTTGTGTTATGTTTCAGTTACTGGATGTGATCAAGAGGAGGAGCCTCTTCTCGGAGATAATACAGTTCGTTTTTGGTGCCCCGATCTCACCCAAGAAGGACAGTGGCACCATCTAATTCTGATTTTTCATCGAGCTGGTATCATGAAAAACAGCAATGTCAGTCTATTTCTTGATAGCCATCATGTGAACACTCAAAAGGTATGTTGAACTTGTTTAAGATTTTATTTCAGAAAAAGTAAAAATAAAAACAAAAAAAATTTCTGTTATTGATAGGTTGGAATCTCTATCCGTGTGAGTTTATTTACATTATAAAATCAATTTTTCTATCTATTTTTCAATTTTTCCTTTTTGTTTCAATATTACTTTCTTTTGGCAATCTTTCAATGTTTTTGTTCTTTCTATTTTCCGTTTTGTCTTGTTTTCTCGTTCTTTCTTTATTCTCTCTCCTTCCATTTTCCTTTCACCATTTTCTTTTCTCTTATTTCTCTTTTTTCATTTTTATTCTCATTTTTTGCTCTCTCTCCTCTATCATTCCCTTTTCTCCTTCTATCTCCTCTTTATCATCTTCTTTTCCTCTTTCTTGCTCTCTCTCTCTCCTCTTTCTTGCTCTCTCTCTCTCCTCTTTCTTGCACTCTCTCTCTCCTCTTTCTTGCACTCTCTCTCTCCTCTTTCTTGCACTCTCTCTCTCCTCTTTCTTGCACTCTCTCTCTCCTCTTTCTTGCCCTCTCTCTCCTCTTTCTTGCCCTCTCTCTCCTCTTTCTTGCCCCTCTCTCCTCTTTCTTGCCCTCTCTCTCTCCTCTTTCTTGCCCTCTCTCTCTCTCTCCTCTTTCTTGCCCTCTCTCTCTCTCCTCTTTCTTGCCCTCTCTCTCTCTCTCTCCTCTTTCTTGCCCTCTCTCTCTCTCTCCTCTTTCTTGCCCTCTCTCTCTCCTCTTTCTTGCCCTCTCTCTCTCCTCTTTCTTGCCCTCTCTCTCTCCTCTTTCTTGCCTTCTCTCCTCTTTCTTGCCTTCTCTCCTCTTTCTTGCCTTCTCTCCCTCTCTCTCTCACTCTCTCTCCCTCTCTCAACAATATGCAAAATAGTGCCTTCCAATCCAAAGCAAACTCTGATCATTTAGACAGAACTGCCTATTCATTTCTGTACAATTCCATAATCACAATTATAAACACATTCACTCACTTTTTCAAATATTCATTAACAACAAGCATATTTTTTCTTAATTTTATTCTTTGCTTTAAAATATTCTGATCACCATGTTTTTCTTTGTTTTTTTATTTTTGAAAAATTAAAATTTAAATTATTTAAATTTTATTTCAGCTCCACTATGTTTCTCCAAATCTTGGTGCAGGGGGAACGGCCAGTCCCACAGCATTCACCACGGTGTTTGCTTACATTGGAACTCCCCCACAGCTACGCCGACAATCTCGCCTTACCTGGAAGCAAGGACCATGTCATCTCCTTGAAGACATTGTTTCTACTAACACTGTCCAGACGATGTACCAACTGGGACCAGTTTATATTGGAAGCTTTCAAGCAGCTCTTCTCAGTATGTTTCCTGAGTTTTTACTTAATACTAGAATCTACCTAATATAATGCCCAAGAGCCACTCAAGGTAGAGGGTAGCTATTAGAGGAGATTATGAGGATGTGGAAGATAGGTGATGATTGACCCTGGATTTGAAGAAGTTTGTAGAGTTTGGGAAAGCATCCACATGCTAATGTGTTACATAAAGTAGCCGTTCTTTGGAAGAAGCTTCGAGAAGGAATATCCTTCTTACCAAAGGAGTACTTTTGGAATTTATAGCATCATTATTCAGTTTGGGATGATTCAAAAGTCTCCATCATTTGTTTGGACAAACTCTTTGTCTATATAAACCATGCAATGCCATCATTGCTCGATTTGTTCACCACCCACCAAAACATATTGTCTGTTTGAACGTATCAATTGAGCATGTTGACTAATTCTCTTCCACGTTTTCCTGCAACTTCATGCACTGTGTCTTCCTTCAAAGGTTCTTTTCTTTAAACACATTGCTTTTCCAGAACATTCTATCATTTAGCTCAAAATGTTCCTTCTTACCCTTGGCAAACCATTCCTGGCTCATTCTTGCACCTACTGCAAGCATATTATAAGCTGCAATGAGCCACAGAAATAAATCATTACTTTTCTGCAAACAGTTCTTAAAGAGCATGCACCCACAAATAATAAAATAAGTTATTTTACGCAAAAAATAGGTGGTCTTTTTTGAAGAAAAATTACTCTACCAGAAAGCTCATCCACCCTTTGACAGGTATTATTTTTTAAATTCACTGGGGGTGTCTAGCAACCCTCCTTACCAGAAAAAGCCTTCTGCAGGGATCCCGGTTTAGCTGCTGATGACCCAACCCTACAACAGTACTGGGTTATATGGTACTAGTCGCAGTTGTAAAGTAACCTGACATTATTATATTACTCTGAATTGGCTAAATAATTATTATTAATCTTTTCATACTTTGAATTATCAACAAGCTTGTTGCTTTTATATGAATTAATTTAAACTAGAAAGAACCGTGGAAATGTCAGTTTTTCTATTTTAATTTTCTGATGAATCTTCATTTCTTGTGATGTCAACAAATACTTGTTGTCACTTTAATAATGCTTGTTGTAGTAGAGACTTTGTAATCGCAGATACAACTATAGTAACGCCGTTGAACAATACTGGTGTCAGATGCCTTTGAATAGCACTCGCACTAATATTACTTGCTCGATAATAATCACTTGAAAGTAACCATCGTATTGTGATCTGAATAGAGAAATAGTATAGTGAATAGAGTAGAGAATAACGGTTCGTATAGTAATAGAGGATAGAGTAGAAATGGCGATCCGAATATTAATAGAGGATAGACTAGAAATGCAGATGGTCGTCACGATACTTTCTACTTGTGTGTTTCCTCTATGGTCACAGGATTCACTTAATTCAATAATGGGATTGTCTGTGTTTCTTCACTGCTGATCTGTGTTCAAACTCAAGTGTTGGCAGTGTTCTTCAGTTAATGATAGCAAGTTCTATGACAAATATCTGTAGAAATTCCCCTATCACATTGTTAAATATTTGAGCTTAACAACATTAACAAAACTAGTAAGGTACATGAAAATTTCATGGTGTTCCTATTTTAATCATGCATTTTTGGCAACCTGTTGCACTCTACACAGGCAAATTTCTTTTTTTTTCTTTTTTCTTTTTTCTTTTCTTTCTTTTTTCTTTTTTCTTTTCTTTTTTTTTCTTTTTTCTTTTCTTTTTTCTTTTCTTTTTTTTCTTTTCTTTTTTTCTTTTCTTTTCTTTTTTTCTTTTCTTTTTTCTTTTCTTTTTTTCTTTTCTTTTCTTTTTTTCTTTTCTTTTTTTCTTTTTTTTTTTTCTTTTTTTTTTTTTTCTTTTCTTTTTTTTTTTTTCTTTTCTTTTTTTTTTTCTTTTTCTTTTTCTTTTTTTTTTTTTTTTTTTTTTTTTTTCTTTTTTTTCTTTTTTCTTTTTTTTCTTTTTTTTTTCTTTTTTTTTTTTTTTTTTTTTTTTTTCTTTTTTCTTTTTTTTTTTTTTTTTTTTTTTTTTTTTTTCATGCAAAAAAAATTCAATGGTCGCACTATACATGAAGTCGACTTATATGGTAAATACACTTTAAAGACACTTCTATGATTTCTCTAACATAATGCAGAAGAGAGCACTGGGAACTTTTGTATCAATCTTATACACACAAAGTTAGATTTACAAAATAAGTTACTTTCCTGTGTAAATTTGCAATCCATATTTCAATTTTGGAACCAATTTTTATTTATAAATGTTTTTTTTTTCTTTTCTTTAGAGAGTGAAGTGCTACCCTCCCTTGTGTCCGAAGAAAAGGTTGTGTTTGGTGTCCATGCCCATGCCATCTCACAAATGACCATCACAAAGATCAGGAAAGTTTACAACAAAGTGGACAGCAAGTCTATTGCTAAGCAGGTATTTAATATTGTTATCATTATCAGTTCCCTCACCTGGTGTGATTGGAAGTTCACTGCACAACTGAGCATGTAACCAGTTTCCTCCACATATCTAGGTTGAAGCCCAGAGTGCTATTAATTTATAGTGATTACCAAATTACTAAATAACCCTCAACCTTTGTTACTAAACTATGTAGGCATCTGGAACCCAAAATAGTTTGATAGGAGAAAAATTAAAGTTAAGTAATAAAAATGGTAATTAACAATAAAGAAAGATAAAGTTAGATCATGAAAAAGTTAAATAAAATCTAGAATACTCCCATGATGCATCGGAACAAGTGTTTTACCATTAAAAGAAACAAAAATCAAAACTTTCTCTCTTTGTTTTGGACTGCCAAAGAAGGCAAATGTTCTGAATATTCTCAGGAAAACCTGTTGCCACCAACAGATAAGCAAAAATTACTTATGTTTGTATACATATGTGTTCTTTAAAATATACAATCATTTCTCTGAAATGTATACTAAAGCAATTTAATTTTTTTTCTATCCTTACATTGTTATATCTCATATATGATTTTGTTTATAATATTATAATCCTGTTGTGATCTTGTGATGCTCTTTTTAGTCCTAAAATGTTTATATATATATATATATATATATATATATATATATATATATATATATATTTATTCAGACAAGGCCAATGCATCACAAGAACACCACAACAAATTCATGTGTAACATGTCTTGAGCAAATAGATCTGGCAGATCCCATCCCTCTCTAGGTCAAAAGCACATCTGTGTCCTCAAAAATTGGGTGCAGACACGTTGCTGTTGATTCTACGAGAGAAATTCTCCGTTCTGTCTGTTGACTTCAGTCTATGAAGCTCTCCACCCACACTGTCTGCATATATATATGGTAGCTATGAAACCATAATGTGGTAGCTATGAAACCATAGCTACCACATTGTGCGAGATAGCCATTGATTCTATCAGAAGGCCTTTGACCCTTTGTTTCGGGGACATGTGAATTCATAAAAAAATATTGGTTCTTCTGTAATTTTTTTTTTTTTTTTACTGAGAAATATATATTATTTATGAATTAATATGTCCCTTAAGGAACTGTGTTCCACATCCAACCAAATTCAAATTGGACATACCACTACAACCCTATCCCATTACGACTCTCTGACCAAAGCTCAATTAGGAGTCATTTAAATCTACATAGAACATTTAGTCAATTTTTATACACTTTATGTCCAGAAAAGAATTAAATAAAAAGCTTAATCAGAATACCTTGTCCGCTGTCTTTAATAAAACTTATATTGGGGGGAAAAAAAGGTATGACAAAATGTAAAAAGTTTTTGTGTGACACATTTCGTCCTTTAGAACTTCATCAGACTAAATTTGTTATGTTGGTGCAACTACACGTGCACAAATGAGGAATGCTGGGAATTTAAAATAATTTTTTTTTATATACTGTATTTGATGGCATGTAAGGCAAACTCTTTTTTACTAAAAATATCTTTTAAAATTCCCCTACGTCTTATATGCCAAATATAGGTTTAAAATTCGTGATAGTCGGCCGAAATTAGCTACCTGGCAACTCCTATTAACTTAGACTTTGGAGTACCTTTCATATACCTATTGTCATTATTTAAAAGGCTATTATGCTAATTAAAAGTGTTATCATTGATAATATTCATTATATTAATTTCATCACGTTTAATATTAGTACTTTGTTTCACTAAAACTATATGCAATAAATTCAAATTATATATTTGTAAAATATATTTGTTTCATTAATATTTTTCTTGTGATAACTTCTGGTCGCATTGGTATAAATACAATCAAAATTTTTATATCCTAATTATTCCAATAAGACATTTACAAGACGCACATTGTACAGATCATATAAAGGATATAATAAAGTTTTATTTTTCATTTAATTGCAATCATGGCTTCTTTAACCAAAATAATGCCTCATAAATATAGCCTAGGCTAACTATTTACTAATAATTTTACTAATTACTAATTATTTCTTGATTTTCCTTATTGAAATTGGGGTGTGTCTTATCCACTTGTGCATCTTATATGCCATTAAATACGGTAATCTTGACACACACATAAATTTAAATTTATCAGCATTTAGTCTGATTAAGTCCTAAAGGATGAAACTCGTCACAAGAAAACTTTTTCTACTTTGTCATATATTTTTCCCCCAATATTGTTCTTGATTTATAAAAACTTATATATTTTTATCTCTCACCCACACACACACACACACACACACACACACACATATATGTGTGTGAATAGAAAAATCAAAAGTTCAGCAGCAAATCTGGATATCCATTAAAAATAACATTTGACATAACAAAAATTACTGTTAAGATAAATGTTTTTTCAGCACCAAAATCTGGCAAGGTTATTATATTTCTGCATTTTCTTTACAGTTGGCAATGGGCTCTCATGAGAATGCGACACCAATTCGTATCATTCACAACTCGGCAGGGCATCTAAGTGGACCAGCACGGAGTCTTGGTGCTATACTCATGGGATATCTAGGTAAGATACTTCCTCTTCTTTATTTGCCTCTTGTTATGTTTTGTGTTGTTTCTGGATTCAATTCATAACATCCCAATGATACATCAAAGACTACATCAACAATGGACAGGTTTTTTTTTTATCTTGATTTATTATATGAGTGACAGTAGTAATAGGATTTTATCTGGGATGAAGCAGGAAGGAGATGATCAGGTGGACACACGTTTGACTCTTGACTAGGATTGCATTGCCGCATACTAACCCTCAGCTACGATTTCATTGCTGCATTCTGACCCTCAGCTAGAACTTCAATACAGCAGGCCGAGACTCATTGACTCTCAACGATTCACTCTCAACTAGGACTTCAGTGCCGCATGCTTGCCCTCGGCTAGGACTTCATTGGCACATGCTTGTCCTCGGCTAGGACTTCATATGCTGCATACCTGCCCTCAGCTACGACTTCATTGCCACATGCCAGCCCTCGGCTAGGACTTCATTGGCGCATCCCAACACTCGGCTAGAACTTCATTGTCACATGCTGACTCTCAGCTAGGACTTCATTGCCGCATGCCTGCCCTCGGCTAGGACTTCATTGCCGCATGCCAGCCCTCAGTTAGGATTTCATTGCCACATGCCTGTCCTCGGCTAGGATTTCATTGCCGCATGCCTGTCCTCAGCGAGGATTTCATTGCCGCATGCCTGTCCTCGGCTAGGATTTCATTGCCGCATGCCTGTCCTCGGCTAGGATTTCATTGCCGCATGCCTGTCCTCGGCTAGGATTTCATTGCCGCATGTCTGCCCTCGGTTAGGATTTCATTGCCGCATGCCAGCCCTCAGCTAAAACTTCATTGCCACATGCTGGCTTGCCTAAGGAATCTGGGCATGGTAATCATATTAATCCTTTAAATTCTTAATTATTCATTACTTTTCTACTTGCAGAATCTTTGTGACTCTTTCTATACTTCTCAAGAGGTGGGCAGCCATAATGCCCCCCTATTCATTTTTTTGGCATTGCTGAATAGTTGAATGATTTTAGCATTATAGGTTTAATAGATACTCACTTTGCTGGCGATAAGCTACCCCATAACTGTTTAATAGAAACAATTTTAAGGTTAGTTATAGAGGCTGTAGAAATAAAGCCAAGAGGAACAATGTACATAAAGGCAGCCAATGACAACCTAACCAGCATTGACAAGAAGTGCAACTGCCATAATAAGTGTCCATTTGGATGGGCACGTCTAGCAAAAAACATGGTCTACTGGGCTACACTGAGATATTAGATCTGCCAGGAATGATATGGAAAGTCTATTTACAAAAGTGATGGAAAGAAAAAGAAAAAGACTCTAAATGAATTTGACTGAAATAAAAATTCTAAAATTCCAAGCATCCTTCTGTCATGCGCATATGTAGCCACATCAACATAACAAATTCTGTCTGATGAAGTCCTGAAGAATGAAATGCATCACAATTAAACTTTTACCTTTTCGCCGTACAATTTCCCCAATACTGTTCTTGATATATAAAAATATATATCGTTATCTGATATATATGTCTATATTTCTGAGATGAGGTATAGAAATTATTTACATTATTAACATTGTTCAGACTGTTGTCCTCATCTTTATTGTCATACTAGACTACCCATAACCCATTGGGTCACTGACAGTTCAGGTTGAAGTTGATTTCAACATTAAAATATTGTCTGTTTGAAGAAAGTTGAAATAAAAAAAATACTGTATAAACAACTCGTATTTTTAAATCTTATTCACTTAAAATATTTTTTAAATCACATTAATGTAAAAATATATTTTTAATATGGCAAAAAATATTTTTTAAATATTTAAAATATTGTTTGTTTAAAGAAAGCTGAAACATAAATAAGCACGCACACAATCACAGGATGGTGGAAAGAAAGAGAGAGAAGTGAAAGAGAGAGGCGGAAAGACAGATGGAAAGATAAGTGGAAAGAAAGAGATAGAGAGAGAAGTGGAAAGAGAAAGGTGGAAAGAAAGAGTCTTTCCACCTTTCTTTTTCCACCTCTCTGTGTATGTATGTATGTTTGTTTGTGTGTGTATATATATATGATTTATTTATTCAAGGTTCTGTTCTGTTAATTTCAGGTGTACGAACCTTTTGCCCTCGTCCTGTGGCCAAAATGCTTGAGAATGTTGGTGGTACAGGCGCCCTCCTGGGCCTGATTGCTATGGCAACTGATGTCGAGGGTTTATATGCTGCTGTCAAAGCGCTGGTTTGTGTTGTCCGAAGTAACAAGTCAGCCATGTGGGATATGGATCGCATCCGAGGATACCAGGCAAGTAGAACCCTATTTTTACAGATTTTAAATTTGAAACATCTGAAAACTTTCACTATGTTAAAGATGGTTGAGCTGTGAAGAACCTAGATGATGTATTGTGCACTACTTAAGTAAAGTGGTCCACTTGTTAAAAAAAAAAAAAAAACAAATCAGGGAATATTCTTCTTTTAAAAATGAGCTCTTCTCATGACATTTGTTGAAATATTTTTTTTTTTTTTAAACATTTCAGAAATGCAGTCCTGTTGATTATATAAATACAGTGTCAAATTGATCCCTGACTTGTTAAAGAGTTATCTGTACTTATTTACAAATGTCAAGTTTGGCTTACAGTCATATCACGTTGAAACATTCCCATCTGATCACCAAAGTAACATTAAACCTGGTCAGTACCAATGCGGGTAACTGCTTGGGAATACAACTTGGATGTGCAGGTAGTGTAATGGCTAACAGCTCTTAATGAAAAATCGGAGAGCCAAGTTTGACTTCATTATATTCACTTATGTGCAAATACACTTGGGAAAGGTATGAATCTACTCTTCTCCTCCCAGCTATGGGCTAAATAGCATAACTTGTATCAGAAAATGATCGCCCTAAGTTCTTGCATACTGGGTAAGATGATAAACTACATCCATGTGCTGGATAAAATGATAAACTACGTCCAACAGCAAGGCTTCTGATCAGGATGTTTTGAGGAGCATCGAACCACCTCTTAATTGCTGGTGTTCCCAGGTCCACCCACACCTGGGGTGGTATCATCTGTTAGGGTCCAAGCTATGGCTGAATATTAAACCCCCCAAACGGGGGTCAAAACACTATGAAAGTGTAAAAATAGATTTTAATACCAGAAATACTTTGTAAAAAAAAGTTATTACCAGCAATACATTTAAAAAAAAAAAAAAAGAACATTACCATCTATACATTTTTTGAAAAAAATATTGCCAGAAATAGATTTTTGGAAAAAAATATTACCAACAATGAAAATTTTGTCAGCATTAAATAACCCATTGAGGTTGATATGCCGTAAAACAAAACAAAGCAAGCCAAACCTAAATTCTTAATATTCAAACATGTTTTGGCCATAAAAATAAATGACAAGTTTGAAGCTGTGCTTACATCCCTGACATCTTCATACCTTTCTTGGTGGATCTTCTATTCCAATGTGGAATATTTAATAACAAATGTAATGGAAACATAAACAAAAATAAAAAGCATCTAAATGAAATTGGCTCAAACATATACCCAAAACATATATTTAAAAAAAAGAAAAATTGACTTAAATTTTAAATTTTCAGCATCCCTTTTCTGTCATACACAAATGTAGTTGCATCAGCAGAAACATCACTTTAGTCTGATGAAGGCTTAAAGCAGGGGTCACCAAAATATGGCCCGTGGGTTGGATCCGGCCTGCAATGTCAGTTCATCCAGTCCGTTGCCGCTGCTCACTGCTACAAATGAGCTAAAATATAATTGTTAATATAGAATTAGCAATAAATTGTAATTAAACTTGCTATGTAGAAAAAATTAAAATAAATTTAAGTAAAACTGTCAAAATTTGGCCAATCTGAATTTTGCATCTGACAATAAGTTTTAGGAACATCTACAGAAGGATGCTGAGAATACCATGGACCGAACATTTGAACACTAAGAAAGTATTAGAGTAAATGGAAACAAAAAGGAATCTTCTCCCTGACATCAGGAAGAGATAATTCAAGTTTCTAGGGAACATAATGAGGAAAGAAGGCTTGGAGAATTTGATACTCACAGGACAGAAAAAAACAATGCATCACCTACCTGGCAAGCTTGAGTAAATGGATAGCAGAACCAGGAATGATAACAAAAAGACAGAATTTATTAAGAGCTACAAAGGACAGGAAATAGTGGAGAGCCATGATTGCCTATGTCCTGAAGGGACCCGGCACATAAAAGAACAAGCATAAGTAAATGGATGGCAGAACAAGGTTTAGGAATGATAACAAAAAGACAGAATTTATTAAGAGCTACAAAGTATAGGAAATAGTGGAGAGCCATGATTGCCTATGTCCTGAAGGGACCCGGCACATAAAAGAACGAGCATAAGTAAATGGATGGCAGAATAAGGTTTAGGAATGATAACAAAAAGACAGAATTTATTAAGAGCTACAAAGGACAGGAAACTGTGAAGAGCCATGAACCCCAGCATCCTGAAGGGACTTAGAAGAATAATGCCAATATATCAAAAATATTAATTAGAAAATTTAACAGAACTAACAAAATTTTGAATACACTATTTTTTTTTTCTCAAATTCATGATTGGTTGCTTTGCATTTGTAATTTTTGTGATCTGTTCTTGTTTTTTTAGACTTTGGCGATGTTATTCAAGAAAAAAAGACATTTACTAAACAGCCACATTCTTCACTTGACCTTCTCCCTGGTTGGCACAGTGGATAGTGGGCGGGAGAGCTGTGTCATCCCAAATAGGTCAGCTTTTGAGGACCTTCTCTGCGATCTGGAGGTAAGTAAAATCTTCAAAAATTATAGATATATAAAAAGACAAAGGTAGATATGAAAATGTGACGGTTGGGGAGCATGAATATATTTTCACAAAACAGTAGCTATGGTTAGCATGGAAAGATCTTCCCTGTCCAAGCATTTGACACGGCAACAACTATCATTTACATAACTTGTATACATCCTACACATACACTTGCACAGAAAATTAAAACAAAAGTAATCTGATATAGAATAATCTGAGAAGAAAATGTATAACAATTGGAAGTTACTTGTTGATATGTCCAGGAAAGGGATATATTTGAACAAAGTAGCTAAGTGGTTTTGGCTACTATAACCAAATAGAATACGGTAGCAGTAATCAACTGGTACGCATCATAGTTGCATGTAAGAAGTGTAAATCAATGGCGTAGTACAATGGGTGTCGTTATAGATTTAGCTCTCAGACTAAGGCCTTTGAATCTCCTATACGTCCGTCTGTATTTATGACGAACACCAGCCAATCATATTCCAGTGAGGGCGAACACAGGTGTATGCATAATCCATTATATCACTTGTCAGTAAGTTTTTTTTTTTAAAAAGCAACAATAATAAGATGGAATAAAACTAGTAGTAAAATAATAGTAATAATGAAGAGTGTATAGAGCCAGAGTGTTGGGATAAAAAGCAACAATAAGATAGAATAAAGCATATTTATGATGATTCATGTTTTTCAATTTTTTCTTATTTCTACTGTAAAATGGAATATATTTTATATATTGTTATGTGTTTCTGGATTTTTGCAAAGTGCTTCTAAAAATATTGAAATATTTCTGTTTAGGTGTGGCATGAGGCCCCTGGTGATCTGCAGCGATCTCTCTATGAACATTTTTATGAACTTCTCACGGAGTCAAGGTAAGCTTCATTTTATCGATACTAAACGTGCATTTATTTCTTATGAACTGGAATTCTGCTCTGTGAACCTTTTCCATTGGGCTTTAATTAGTATTGGGTATGAAGACAAAACTAATTGCAATATAACTGGACAGTGTCACTTGATGTCAGAAGGTAAACTATTGCCATGAAGATCAAACACTTTTTGTGGCTGGTGGATCACTTGCTAGTGAACCATCAGCTGTTCCAGATCTCACATTGCCAATGGATTCTGAAGGAGGGATGTCAAGAGCATGGGTCTACACCTTGGCAACTCCTTACTCACCTAAAAGTTCACTCAGGAACACACACCATTTCACTGTGAAAGAAGTCAGGTTTTGAATTCAGAGTTGTCCTTTTCCTAGACCAGTTGCCATCCAAGGCTATAGAACCCAGTCTGTCCTGCTATTTACCCATAGCTGGAGGGAGAAGAAGAGGATTCATACCTATCCCAAGGGTATTAGCACGTAAGTGAATGTAATGGATTCGACTGGAATTCGAACTCGGCTCTCCGATTCCTCAATCCAAGCCGCTGTCCATTACTCCACCGTGCCTCCTAATATATGAATTAGCTTAAAAGACGCCCAATTACACACAATTTTTTTTTTATATTGTAATTATTATTTATATTATTTTAGTTTGAGATTAATTTATGTATCATAAATTTTAAATAATAGAAGGTTTTGAATTTAATAGTTTTTTATCGTCCATCAGAAGACAAAACCACTATGTTTTCCTTCTATATAATAAATGCGAATGTCAGTGTGTCACACTTTTTCAATTTAACTCCTAGAGGCTACAGCCCAGCATAGCATATCATTTTGGAATCAGGCAGACTCTGTGAGCAAATAAAAAAAACATTCTAGGCTGGATCTGGACCCGCAATCTTGAAATTTTGGATTCACAAGTTTTCATTACTGTGATTGTTTTCAAATGCCACCATCTTGGCTGATGAAAACAATTAAAGGGACACAACTCTCTAACTTTCAGTAGCTCATGTTCAAAGGAAAAAATTACAGTGTTTCAAAATAAAATTGCCCATGTTTTCAACTTTACTCCTACAGACTGTCTCTCAACACATACATCATATTTATCATCACTTGCCTTGATAAAGTAAAATAACAAAACACGTCAAAAAGGACTACATACTATTTTCCGAT